TACTGAGAAATAATTTCTTTTATCCATGAAGACAACCTCCAGAAGGCAGGATGGCCCCTGGCGCACATCATAGGTGCCAAAGGAACTTCTGTCTTCGTTATATTGCGATGCTAAACCACGCAATGACTCTGGTCCTGGCAGGAAGGCAGTCAGTGAAGTAATGTGAAATTCTTGGATTTTGCATGTTTTAGTGCTCATGATGGCAACACAAGGAACATTTTAGGTGGAATTTGACATATATTCCAGTTTTCTTCAAACTATAAATTTATAAGTTAAAAATGTGTAAAATGGCTAGTTTTAGTGCCAGAATATATTATGTGAAAAAACACAGCAAGTAAGGCCTGAGTTTAAAGTATGCTCTAAGAGCTTATTAATTTTTAATTAATAATTGCTTCTAGTTTCAACAAGTTGAACATAGATATTGGTATAATCGAGGTAATTAACAGCAAGAGATGCCAACCTGTGGTAAAAGTATTCTGTTTTAGACTGTAATGTAAGGATCCACTATTCCCTCTGTGCACTAGTGTACAAAGATAATTAAGAGATTTCCCATTTACCATCTTTTATCTAAGATGCATATGTTAAAGTGCATTAATCTTTTTTCAGATAGTATAATCTATTGCTTTTGTCATTTATATGTTCTTTGTAATTTGTCAGTGCTGCTCTTTCCTTTATAGTCAAATGAAAGAAAACTCTCTTCAGTGCTCCCGAGTGTGAGATAACCAAAACTCATGTGTCATGTGAAAAGGGGAGATTTCCTCTACCCTTAGTGTGGGGAGAGTTCATCAGTGATTTATTAGTCTGTCAATATCCCAAGAAAGCTGATACCCTCATGCCCAACCAGTGTGTCAGTGTCCTCTTATGGGGATTGTTCACTGAACAGTCCATCTGGATCAAAGGACAATTTGACTGCCCTTTTCAGGGGGCTCAGCCAACAGTGTAAGGGAGACCCCGCAGTGGGTCTTCACACTTTTAGGGTGTGTTACCCACTGCCAGTGGCTGCCAACACCCATGAAGGACTCACAGTATCAGTTTATGGGAAAACGGTCTTACTAATAGAAGATTGTGACAAGTTAAGGTTCAAAGGTTGCCAGTGATAGTATCTGACTGCAAAAAACATATTCAAAGCAATACACAGACAAGCTCTAGTCCCAATAAAAGTATTCAGCACGCACAGAGTGGTTCTTACCCAACAGGTGTCCCTATGAGAGGGGAAGACAGGTTCAGCCTGTTGACTCATTCAAGCAGTTACAGTGGAGTCTCCTGTAACTTTTCCCCCCTTCTCAACTTACTTTTATACTATTTCTTTATTTTTAGGTGGAGATTGAGTGACTTTAGTCATAAATACCGTTATTACTGATTGGTGTAAAATTGTTTTGCTGCACTTTTAAAGATACAGTCAAAAAATACATAGTGCATGCCCAGTGGGGGTGGTTATACCTTAGAGGCAGGTAACTTTGGGATGGAAATATGCATTAGTATTACAGTTAGGCTTTAATTAATCACGTTCATTTGAGGAGAGAGATTTGCCACAGTTGTTGGCTCAGCAGCAGGACATCCCCTGTCTCCCTTGGCTGACAGGTGCTATGCGGTTTATCAGCTGCAAAGTGCTATCTAGTTCCCTCCCTGCAAGGATTTCTGAAGAGCCTGGTTGTGGTGTCTTCACTCCACCCTCCGTTTCATCCCCCATAGCAGGTGCTTATTGTTGTATGGGAATCATCGTGGAGCTGCCAGCTGCTTTCTATCCAGGGAGCAGCAGCTGCATTTTACCCTATAATTTCTTTACCATTAGAATTTCTGCTAAGATGTGATTATAACTTCTCAGTTTCCTCTAATTTTTACCCCCAGCTATCTTCCTACAGTGGTGTAAACAGGAATTACTGCCTCTCTGGCTTTAAGAATCAAACCTGGCATATACATGTTGTATGTATATGTACATGTATTGCTTCTCTTGAAATAGTATGAACTCTTGTCTATCATGTGCTTATCCAGGGATGGCTCAGTGATGAAATATGCCATCCTTTGTTTTTTTATAAATCTAGTATCTGTTACCTGTTACATTTTTACACAAATCCTGCATTACAGTCTTAGAAAACTTCCTACATATATAGCATGAGGAGAAGAACGGTTATTCATAATAGAAAAAGGGAATATAATTGAAATAGTTGTCAAGTAATATTCTGGGTAGGAGATATTGTAAATGATATGATGTACTGTAACATATTTTGAAAGAAGGTAGCTTCTCTCTCTCTTAAAAAAGTTTTATTCCAGGTCTAGTCCAGTGTTGTTCTCTGGAGTCCTGTCTAAAACTAGAAGTAACATTTCAGTGACCCTTTGAACTGGTCTGACTTGGGGCCCTTCCAGTCTTACTGCCCCCTCGAGCCAGCGCTGACTTCACGTTTTGGTTCAGGGAGAAGAACAGACTTGCTTGCAGGAGTGTTTGGTGTCTGCCGGGGCAAGCCCCAGGACTCATCTGACTCCCCAGCAGTGCTGGCTGGAGAGGTGGCTGTGAAGCAGAGAGGGATAGGTCTGTGTGCAGCGTGAGATGGGAGGGCAGCGTGAGATGGGATGACGCAGCCCCGGAGAGAGGCTGGGAACTGGATCCAGCCTGGAAGTGCAAAATGGACATGTAGGCATAGGATAGCACCTCACAATGTTCCTGTATGCTCATAGCATATTACTTTTTGTTTCTAATAAAATTTTTAGTGTCTTCTGCGCTAGTCTCTGGTGGCTGCTGAAGGTTCTAGTGTTTAGTAGTGACATTTCAGTCAATTTAATGGAATTGACAGAAAAAATTATGATATGAAAGAAACCAAATAAGTAGAAGGCTGCTGCTTGGGAGGAGGATAAAAAGATGCATTTAAAAGTAACCTTTATTAATCTTCAGTTTGGCATACTTATGCCTGTAGAAAGAAAATCAGTAATATGCAACAGGCCAAGGACGCTGCCAGAGATTGGAAGACATAGTTACATGGGCCTAAAAAGGATCTCCTTAAAATAATCAAGCAGTTTGTGGGAGGGAGGAGTTTTCCACATAAAATTTGCATGTACTGAACTGCTCTGCTCTAGAGCTGCTTGTCTTGATGCTTTGCATAGATCTGAGTCTGCATTTTTAATCTTTTTTTTTTCCAAGTTAAATCCTTTTAATTAGAAATTGGCTTGACCTGTGTTAGTTTCTTGAAAAAATCTCTGTGTATCATCTGACCCTACTGAACTGTATTTAATGTAATTCTTTCACTAGCTTGTTATCCTTTAACCTCTGGAGCAATTTTTCATTGGTCTTTTAACTCCACATAATCATTAATGCTTATTTTAAAATGCCAGAAGAAGACTTCCTATTTGTATTGTAGTCCTAATACTTACTTAATCCTACTTTTAGAATAGTTTTCTGTTTCCTCTTACTTGTTATAAACGACTAAATCCTTTATTATTCTAAACTCTTCAGAACTAATTTACCTCCACTTCTGTTGTTTAAACTAATACATTTTTATGAAAGCTCTGTATTCCTACTTACTTTTGAGCTTGTTCACTGGTACCAGCCAAAATTGATAAAGTTGTGTCAGCGTCAAGGATACGAAATTTTTGCAGGTTTTATGAAATCATCACGTTTCCAGAGTGGGAATGACCCAGATTAATGTTTCTGCTAATGGAAGATCTGCAGCATGATCTCAAGTTACCTGCTCTGTTAGACGTGGCTTAAAGTGGCCAGCTCGTTGTTGTACAGCTCTGAACCACCCCACGATTATGCTGCTCTTTGACGAGCTGATAAGGAGCACAGCTGGGTTTTACAGCAGCACTGGGGGAGCTCCGAGCTGTGGCCAGAGGCAGCCTCGAGTTTGCAGTGCAGACACGAAGTTGTGTAGGTTGTGTATGTGAGATAAAGTGATTCCCACTTGATCTTGGAAGTACCCCAGCCGAATTATTCTTGAAATTGAGATCTGGAAAGCCGTAATTTCCATGGAGCAGCCTTCAAATCATGTTAATTGGTGAAATTTTGAGTTAGAATGTGATGTAGGTGCCGATCCACTCATGATTCCAGGGCTTGATAGCAGTACGTTTGTTGAAGTTTAATGTCTTTTGGCATATTCTGTAAATAGATTTTTTCTTTATAAGAAGGAAAAAACTAGAAGGACAATGTTTTTGTAATCTTCACTTACATCTTTACAGCATCTCTGCTTTGAAAAAAATAAAATAGCAGTTTTCAGTTTTAAGTTGTTTATTTAGGTTTCTTTTTTTTTTTTTTTTTTTTTAAAGGAGAGATTCAGAATTGTGCTGCTTTTTTCCCAGTGCCTTTTCTAAAAGGTGGTTCAGGTTTGGGGAATTGTGGCATTATTGATTGTGGGTATTCCAGGGGAGCTTGAAGTAGATCCAGCATATTGTCTTATGCATTCCCATCTGCACTGAATTTCAGGAATAATTCGTGTTGTTAACAGCTGTGTCAACATGTGAAAAGGAAGGACAGGAACTAAACAAAAGGCTAATAATAGAAGAGACAAGGAAATGAGAAGTGAACACTTTAGTAAACTTTCTTTCTGTGATAGGTAAGAGGGGCAAATAGTGCAGCCTGTCCTTATCTGTTACCACAAGCACCACCTTGTTGGAAACGTTCAGATGGAAGAGAGCTGTTTGTACGTGTGTGTGTGTGTCTAAGTGTGTAAGTACGGGAAACAAGCAACTGACCCGAGAAACACACACGGTGGATTTGCATAGAGACATACAAAAGTCTCCATTTGTTTAATTATTTACCCTACTTTAAGCTTATGCTTCCAAAAACTCCAAAGCATGGTCTTGCTTTTACCCATTGCAAACACTGAATATGTGGTATTGTCTGCCTGGCAGTGTGAGGTGTTGTGTTAGTTGTTTTTTGAGCTGTCTTCTGCAATAGGAGAGGCACTTCTGTTGGTTCAGAGATTACCACAGCGTGTAATCCTGTGATAAACTAATTGGCAGATCCAGTACAGGCTGTTGAAGAAACATTTGTTCTATTTTGAGACATGCTTAGTCATCCCTGTTTTGGCCTCTTAACAGGTTACAGGCATTACTCCTTCTTCGCTACTATTAAAGCTGATGAACAAGGTAATCAGAAGGCTAGTTTGTGAGAAATGGTTTGTGCTACTGGAGGATGTGAATTCTTAGCCCAAGTGTGTTGTGTGCTGTCAGTGGAAACCAGAGAATACGCTGCATATTTTGTTGTATGTTGGTAAAGCTCGCGGTTTACATCACACAGGTATGGAGCAGCTGCTAAATATGGGACCAGCATATGTAAGAGGACCTTTATGAGCAGGGAATATGATAACAGCCCTTCTGTGTCCTGTAGCCAACATTCAGCTATAAATGTTTCTTCACTGTTGTAAATAGAAAACTTTAGTAAAGTGACTTACCTTGAATTAAGCTTTTTTTAATTGTTAAACCTGCTTATTTGATTGTTTTACTTGTATTGGTGCAGGTTGTGTAAAGCACACTAGTATCCTTAATTATTAGTATGCTTTGTGGTTTTTTTTTTTTTTTAACTAGCTTAACAGTATGCAGATCTAGTACGTTTTATGTTTAATGCGTAATGGAATTGTTATATAAGTGAAAAAAATTTTTTCTCTTCAGAAGTAAAATGCTTTCTGTGAGAACTTCTGCTTCTGATGCCAGGACTCTTTTGAAGACTTACTTTGCTGCATGGCTTAAAGGCAGATGATGTTTCTTAATGAATTCTGAGCATCCTTCGGGAGACCGGTGACCCTTCTGTCATTGGTGTATGCTGTTCATGGACAACTTCATATGGTAAAGATAGTATTTTTTTGAGTCTTTCTCAGATTAGTACTCTGATAGAGGAAGCAGTGCATTAAGTTCTCGGTTTAGATTAACAGCCCAAAGCTTGCTCTTTTGACTCTGAAAACCATTCACAGTGCTTTTAAGAAAATGTTTTTCACAATGGTTTGCTTTTCACAATGGTTTTGAGAAGCTGTATCTTCATAACGTGAAGTTCTGTCTTAAGGTACTCTTTTACAGTTGTTCACAGCAAGGGCCAAATTTCATTTCATACTTGATTTCCCTAAGTCAGTGCAAGTTTTTTTTCTCTTATAAATCCCTGAAAATAATGCTTGATTTAACCATTTGTTTTCTTGTTGCTTGAGGGCAGGTTTTGTCTAATGTTTCTTTTAGACACAGTAAATGGGAAGCCACACTTAGTAATCTCCAACTAAACAATTAACTCAAAATAAAATCTCATAGTTTATTAGTATTTTGGTGGCATTACTTTGTTTAAGAGGATATTAGAAAGAGCACAATTTGCTTTCTAAGAATGTTGTATCTACTCACTACGTTTATTCATTCTGTTTTGTCAGCTCTTTTCAAAACACCACAAGCAGTTAATGCACCTTATAAAGGACTCCTGACCTTTTGCATCTTCCTAAGTCATATCTAGATGCCACCAGTGTTTCCCATGTTAACAGTTCTGAGCATGTTTTACTATATGTGCCTTCGGCGCCGAGCTAGGACAGCGACGAGAGGAGAAATGAACAGTCGGAGGGCGATTGAATCAAACACCCGAGCCTTACCTATCAATGTTGAAATAGTTCAGTATGCCAAAGAAGTGTTGGATTTCAGCTCTCACTATGGCAGTGAAAACAGCATGTCGTATACCATGTGGAATTTAGCGGGTATTCCAAACGTGTACCCTAGTTCTGGTGACTTTACTCAGACTGCTGTCTTTCGAACTTACGGGACCTGGTGGGATCGCTGCCCCAGCGCTCGGCTGCCGTTCAAGAGGACACCATCCACCTTCTGTAGCCAAGACTACGTGGAACTTGCTTTTGAAGAACCGGTTTATCCCACTGCAGTGCACATTCTGGAAACCTATCATCCTGGAGCTGTAGTCAGGATTTTAGCATGCTCTGCAAATCCTTACTCTCAAAATCCACCAGCTGAAGTGAGGTAATTTTTTTCTTTTCTCCTTTATGCTTTCCTGTAAGATGTTAAATGCTACAAATAGTGCTGTTTAGTGAACTTTATTTCCTAGTATTTATCTGTTTTGTATCCGACCCACTAACATTTACTTTATTTCTGTGTGGTTTTTAAAGCTGTGGTGACATGGTTTGATAACAACTTCAGAGATGTAGATATTTTGTAGGAATTAATGCAGTTCCTAATATCAAATTTAATTTGTGTAATGATAGTTTTTGTGTTGGAATTTTTATGAGCAATAATGATTATGTCTGTAGAGAAAACACTTTTGAAATGGCAGGTCTGAGTTCTTCCTCCAGTAAGAAGAGCAAATTGTGTAAAAGAAGCTGAGGATTCACAGTTGCTGTATCACCCTGCTTCACGTAGCCATAGACTTTCTTGTCTGTATGCTTTAGGTTGCGTGTATAGTATAATCAGGCACTGAAACTATTCATATGGAAATGAGACTAAAACCAGAAGCACAGAACAGTCAGACAAAAGGTGAAGCCATTTGTCAGATCTTTATTTTTGGTCTGATCAAAGGGTGTGAGCTGCACCTTGTTTTTACACTCACTGCATAGGCTGAAAGAAGCTGATTTGATCCTGTTGGTTTCCCTCATAGTAGAAAGTTCTGATGAAATTTCAGCTGGGGGGTCAGGAAGATGGTGACCTGGGGAGTGGTAATATAGTAAAATAAAATACTTTGTATGAGGTGTGAAGCTCTTAGTGAGGAGGTGAGGAAATAGAAATGGAAGGAGAAAGAGAATAGGTCAAAGTACATAGTGGGCAAAAGCATTGGGAAAAGCTATCAGTATGTGCAATCAAAGTACTCCGTATCAGAAGAGATTAAATGATACCAAAGCTATAAAGGAAGGGAGAACTGATAAAAGAAAATGTATCTTGTAGAAAATAGTATGCCAGCAAATACTGTATTACTTTGAAATGCACACTTTGGTGGTATAACTAGTATTGGTTTGGATATTGGGTGTTTTTTCCTGACTTGCCTTTTACAGATGCAGCTAAAGAGCATACTTACAGGTCTAACTTAGTACCCGTTGCTTCCTAATACTAGGCCATTGATGCTCATTGGAAAACTCTTGGAAAATCGGATGTTATGTTATGTATTCAAAATTCCCAATTAATATCTTCTGTATGATTCTGTCATATACTGTTCTTAAGAGCAGTTGTTTGTTTTACAAGTCTGTAGTGAGAATATTCTGTATAGCTCAAAAACATACAAGTTCAAGGAACAGTGATGGGTCAAACTAATAGTAATAGGCCACCTAACTTCAGAAGAATGAGTGTATTTGGCACTGTAACACAGAACCTATTTACAGGATGGTATGTGGTGAAGTCAGCTTTTAAGACTTTCAAGTTTAGAAGCTGATGTGAAATAACTTTTGGGCGATTGGTCTGTGAACTTTCTTTTTACTTTTTTATTTTATGATGTAGATTTTTACTTCTTTATGATGTAGCACATTATGTAGAGATTATTTCTGTAACTTGATAATCTTGCATTAGGGTAATTGTAACATAGGGTGCTTCAGGGCATTGCAAAGATATAATTCTGATTGATAAGCTAATGCTATTTTATGTCTGTTTAGGTTCTTAAGACAGCACGCCTCAGTAAAGACTGAGAGGTGTTGGAGGAAAGCTCAAGAAATGTTAACTGAAGGAGCTACTTAGTAAGGTGCACTAAAAAAAGAAGAGAAAATTGTTCAGAGAGGTAAAAGGAGATGGAAGTGAAAATACTAATATAAAACTCTTGGGTATGTGCTTTATGACTTCTTTTGCGGTGTAAGCAGTGAGAGCTCAGACTCCCTTTTTCATAATAAAAGATGAAGCTTCTGTAGGACCCTGCATTTTAATTTGTAGGCAAGAATACCTTCTTGCCTGCCTGCACAGGTTAATAACATTTCTGGTTAGAAAAAGGTTGTCTCAGGCATCCTTGGAACCAGTTCTCTGTGCTGCCTCTTCAGTACTTCTTAGTCCTGTTGCTAGAGAAGTGTTAGAAGGACTTTTTTCTTTTGGTTTACCTTCCCTCAGAAGGACTTGTCTGTTCAGGGCTGCATATTTGGTTTGTCTCCTTTCTTCTGAAGGAGACAAACATGTCTTATGCATGGTGTCTTGAAGGGAAGATAAAGGGACCTTTTCTCCACATGAGGTATGCAATATTTTTTCTCTGTTCATTTGCTCACCTTTATGAGGGGAATCTGAAAAGTTGCAAGGGCGCGGTCTCTTTTCTGCTTCAGTTCTTGGTCCCTTGTTCTCACTTCCAAAAGTTCTCTGAGATGTCAGCTAAGAATAGGTTTTTTTGAAGATGGAATACTGCTGTAATCTCAGATGATTCCTTGTTTAACTGATATTTTGGTCTTGAAGAACTGGCATACTATTTTATTCTGTTAAAAAAGGCCATGTCCTACTTACTCAAAAGGCACTTAGAACCTTTTTTTCCTCTTCTGACTATTTTGATACTCATTTTTTAAATCACCTTGCTACCAAAAAACCTTCCAATGCTGCTTTGTTTTATCAGCTGACTATGGATCTGTTTCTGAACACCAGTATAGAAAGGACAGGTGTAGTGGGTTGACCCTGGCCAGATGCCAGGTACCCACTAAAGCCGCTCTCTCACTCCCCTCTGCAACTGCACAGGGGAGAGAAAAAAGAACAGCTAAGGATTCATGAGTTAAGAGCTGAGAGTGGTAACTTACTGATTATCTTCATGGGTGAAACAGATTCATAGTGGGGATATTACTTAAATTTATTACTTACAGGATCAGAGTAAAAGAGTGAGAAGTAAAATAATCTTAAAAACACCTTCTCCCCACCCCTCCTTCCTTCCATGCCCTCCCTCCTCCCCCCTCAGTGGTGCAGGGAGATGGGGAATGTGGATTATGGCCAGTTGTTGTTTCTGCTGCTGCTCAGGGAGAGGAGTCCTTTCCCAGCTCCCATGGGGTCTCTGCCACAGGAGAGGGTCCTTGATGGACCTCTTTGGTGTGAGTCAGTCCTGCAGGCAACAGTTCTTTGTGAAACTGCTGTCCCATGGGTCAGTCCTCCATGGGGTGCAGTCCTTCACAAATGAGCTGTATGGACATAGGTCCCCCCCCCAGGGGCCACAAGTCCTACCTGGGAAAAGCCTCCTCCAGTGTGGGCTTCCCTCTCCACAGGCTGCAGGTCCCCAGAAGAACCCTTCTCCATCCTGGGCCTTCCACAGGGTCACAGCCTCCTTTGGATATCCACCTGCTCCACCAGGGTCTTCACCACGGGCTGCAGGGCCTCAGCTCTGGTGCCTGGAGCACCTCCTGCCCCTCCTTCTGCACTGACCTTGATGTCTGCATTGTTATTCCTATGTTCTCACTCCGTTCTTCCCTGGCTGGAACTTTCATCTGCGCAACAACCTTCAGTTTTTAAATATGTTATCACAGAAGCATTACCATTACTCCTAATTGGCTTGGCCTTGGCCAGTGGAAGGAAGCCCATCCTGGAGCTGGCTGGCACTGGCTCCACAGGTCAGGGAAGCTTTTAGCAGCTTCTAACAGAAACCACCCCTGTAGCCTCCCCCCACTACCAAAACCCAGCCACAGAAACCCACTACAGCAGGTCATTAGGAAGGTTCTTTTTCACCTGTTCCTACTTTGATATTAAAAACCAGGCCAAATTAATGGTGGAGTCAGAAATGTTGAGAGGAAAACATTTGAGATGTTCTTAAATGTTTAGTGGATTATACTAGTCCAGCTAAGTAATCTTTTTTTTCTCTTTGTTTAATATTTAAAACATCAGCTCATCCAAGACTTTTCTGTGTGCAAAAGCTTGCAGCCTACGAGAGGCTCTGTAAGGAGCTGGTGTACTGGAGTACTTGCTCAAGAGGATTTTATATATTCTTGTTGAAAAATGGCTAACACCCACATAGTTGTCCCATGTGTTCACTTTATGCTTCAGTTGCATGGAAGAGTGACTCATGCAGGTGTTCAGAAAGAGGTCTTTGGTCGTGTTTCTTTGTTGCTGGTGCACTGAATACTGCTGTCAGAGCGTTGTATGACGCTGGCTCAGGTGAGCTTTCTTCGGAGTGTTTGTAGAGATGGGGTCAGATCTTCATGGATGAGAACAAGCATTTATTTTTCGGAGGGTCTGTAATTGTTTCTAGCTAATCCTAATGGTTAAAACATGACAGTTAATTTGAAGTTTTTTCATTGTGGTTTAAACAGCATCCAGCTGAGGATTTTCTGTCCTCATGTTTTTTGCTGCTTTAAACACAGAAGGCACTACGTGAATCTCCTTCACATAAAACAATTTTTAAAAATCATAAATGTCAGCAAAATTGCTGCTTTAACACATGGAGACCTTTTGTGCTTTTCATTTGTATCACTTAGACCTTGATTGGTGAGAAGTGTTTGGTAATTCCTTAAACTATACCAACTTCCCATGTACAAATTTGTTACATGAATTATCAGAGTGCGGAAGGCCCAAGAAAAAAATAATATCATGAGATTGAGGGAATATTGTAACATAAAGTCTCAGGTTTTATGTGGGGAAGAAATTAATCCCTATTTTTGATTGTGTTGTGTTATGATGGCCACTAATGTGGCCTTGATTTTGTACTGTGGTGCACATTATGTATGCTTAGGGTTTGGTGACAATGATGAGTTGTCACCAAGCTTCAACCAGTGGAACAGGCAGAGCTCTACAAAGGTGTAGTGGTGACAAGTGCACCTGATAGTGGTGTGAGCTGACCCCAACCAAGAGACTTGACTTTATTTCTCATGATGTTATTAGATTGATAGATAAGATACAGCTAGCCTCAGTGACAAGAAAAAAATTTTTTTTCCAGATATTTCAAATAACTGCCCTGTTCACATGAGCTTTTCAGAGATTTCTCAAAAATGACTGTATTCCATGAACCCAGAATTCATTCTTCTATGACAGGCATCTGGACAAGAAAAAGCTGTTTCCCTGAAAATGTCAAAACAAGTTTTAAGTAAGGATGCAAATGCCTAGAACTTAGGTTGTGTGTTACACATAGGTGAGATACAGCCCCGAAGGTTCCTTATCACACTCTAATGTGTTGATGGTATCAGCAGTGTTTTGGGTGTTTTGATCTGAGATTCACAGGGAATAAAAGGTAGAGTGAACGAACCATCTGAACGCCGCTCTCTGCAAGCAAAAACTGATCGTATTTTACATTCAGTACGCTGCCTTTCTGGTTTCACTCCCCTTTTTTAGAAGGGGGGGTAGTTTTTTTTTTTGTCAAACATTTTGATCTCTATCCTGGCTGGCAGCAAACAAATCTGCTGCGTTCCCATCTGAATTAGCATTGTACTGCTTAAATACAATGAACTTACCTAATGGAAGGAGCAGGAGCCTTTTACTGTGTCCATCTTCATTAACCTGCTCCTCTGTTTTGCAGCAGCTTCTGCCTCTACAGGCTTCAAGACCTTCAGAAAGAGAAAGAAACTTTGCATACAGCAAACAAAGCTAAACTAGGAAATGCTGAACCACACTCATTTTTCTAGCAAAATTCTAAACGACATGAAATAAAATAAATTAAATAGAAATAAATGGCAGGAACACACAAGGCAGGATGGAACTGCTTCCAGACAAATGACTGTGGTATCTCACCTGTGAGAAACAACCTAATCAGTGTTACATTTTATCTGTAGAAAACAAGAAAAATTAATCACAAGACAAAATCTCTATAACCTACTGAAGAGGTAATTGTCACGTAGCAATAAGGATATGTGCTATGAAACATCACCCCAAGCATGGCCACACGTTCCAAACTAGTTAGGAATCTCTGGTTTTGAGTTTTTATAGAAGCACATGAATATACAGTGTCACTGTAAAATATATGATATAAAAGAAACTGTCAAATTAAGTTAAAAAAAGACCAAAACAGAAAAACAAGGATGAGCTTTTCCTTTTATATTCCAAATTTACAAAGCAAAGTTATTTTTATGAAAGGAAAAAGTTGAAAAACTTCTGAAAAATTTTTTTACTTGACAGCTCCCATTTAAACAATGTCTAACAACAACTAACTATCAGGAATATCAAAATGTTTTAAAAGGACTTACATTGAAGAAGCCATTAGGGAATCACCAAGAGTAAACCTTCTGGGTAAATAAGGAGGAAAAAGAAAGAGAAAGGGAAAGAGAAAACTTCTTTCTACACCAATCTCAATTTGACGATGTAAGAAATCTCATTAAATTGCAAGCAGAGTTTAATCTTGTCTTGCTAGGGAGAAATCTGATTTCTTTTCCTAGGGTCTTTTCCAAAGACTCTCTCTTATTACATACGTGTCTTCAGAAGTAACCAGGTCTGCTCAGGCATCATCCTAGCCATTAAAAACCTTTCCAACAGCATTAGGACAACAAAAGTTAAGCAAGCATTAAACATGTATTCTCATTTAACATAAACCTTGCAAATATGATTCTCAGTCTAGAAATCACTAGACTGTATTTTCCTTCCTGGTGAGGGAAGGGGAATGGGAATATTTTTTTACCTCATAGGTGTATGGAGTCTTTAGTATCAGAGCAGAATGAGTTCTTGTCTATCTTCGTGAGACATAGAGAAGTTTAGTAGGAAAAGTGAGTCCATTAAAGCTAAATGGAGAAACTCACGTAAAGTCCTCCTTTTCTTTAACCACTAGAGAAAATAATACAGATGTTGCTGACTCTTACTCAGGCTTTGCGTGGCACTGCAAAGACAGGCTTTCTAGCACAGTACTGGTGAAACCTTCTTATCAAAGCACTCTCATTGCAACATTTTTGATCAGTTGTTATTGTACATCTGAGAGGCATGAGGACAAGCAATGTGCTACCTGCAGTCATTTGATGCTGGTTTTTTTTTTTTTTTTTTTTGAGAACTACCTAATTAACTGAGGGCAGGGAATGGGCAAGGTTCCTTCAACTTTCTTAACATAATTTATTGAGATTCAGTTTCTCTTTGTTTTGAGTTAAATAGTTCATTGAGCACCTTAAGTTTGGAACAAATGCAGGCAACCTTATTAGGGAAGCTGATTTTGGTATGTACCCTCAAGCCAGGATTGACTGTAAAAATACCTTTCTTAGGAAATATTTTTAAATGGGTAACCATAAAAAAAGAATGCTCTAGAACAGAAGACATGCAATTCTTACTGAAGCCTCTTGGAAATTTAGACTTTCGATCCCACTGTGAATTCTTCACTCCCATTCAGATTATGTGTAGCCCATTAAGTATCACACGGGTGATCCTAGATGAAGAGATCACTTCCAGTTGCAGTAATGGGTGTGTTGAGTATACCTACACCTGGAAAGAACCTACCAGCCCTGACTCAGAGCGATTGCTGTTGCTTGTTCTTGTGTGCAGTGCCACCAAGGCGGAGAAGAACATCAGATGAACCTGATTGACTTGAGGTTTTTCAGATAAACCGAGAGCTAACTCCTTTAAAGTTAGATTGGTGGGCTGTTGATGAAAAGAAGAATATGGCAAGGACAGTGGAAAATTGTCACTGGTTTTGTTGTTCATCAACATTTGGTATGTAATGTGGAATTTCACAAGACTGTAAAGTCATTCTACATGTCTTTCATTTTCTCTAGTTTATTACAAAGACTGGAAAACAGATAACTGCTAGTTGAAGTTGGTTATTGCGCTCCAATTTGGTGCATCTAGATCTCCAGATGCATTATTTTTTTTCCAGAGCTCTACTACTGCTAGATAATCCTCTCTTCAGGGTACCAAAGGAAAAGTCAGTAACTGAGACCCGTTCTGTTAGAAACTGATGGTCCAGCATGTGCTAAATTAGTGAAAAATTAGCCTTGAGTTTCCCTAAGGGTGGCTTGAGTGGGTACATGGAAGTGTCCAAGCAAAATTTCAGGTGGTGATATGAATGTGTTCAAGAAACACCACACGTGCATTGCCGACATTAGGTATTTGCTCAGAGAATTGACCTGTGTGAGACGGTGTGACAGTGGGACTACGTCTGGTATTTTGCCATGAGTTGACATTAATTTCATGAATTAATGAAATCTTTCCTCCATGACTAAGTTTCTCTTATGAAAACTGTTAATTTTAGGGTAGAATTGTCCACTCTCCTGCATAAGTACTTTCTGATGTGCCATATGTTCATGTCTTGCATGTTTGTTTTTAGTTCATGACTTTTTTTCTTTTGAGATAAGACTTATGGAAGCCTCTCATTCTACTGTAAGGTACTTAGAGAGCAGCTTGATATAGGATAGGAAAATTTATCTGTGCATACCTGAAAATGTCAATTGTGAAATGGAAGTTTCAACCCATATGGTTAATTTTCCTATTCTTTTCCTAATTAATTTTCTTAATTTTCCTGGTAACAAATATCAAGCTTCTACATCTTATACTGTGTGCAGTGTTTTAATGAAAGTCCACTTTGCTTTCTGTCATGATGGAAAAGGCTTAAGCAAGTTGTTCTGCAAATAAAGCATGTTTTAATTTATTTTATTTTTTTTAATTGATGTTCTTCTCCACTCCTCCCCCTCGCCCCTTCATGGAATCTGGTAGGAAAAGCCAAGATGCTGAGGTAGTGGGGAGCAGATAAAGTGCTTCTGAGATACATGTGCCAGGACAAGTAGTCTTAGAGAAATTTTTGAAGCTGGGACTAAGGTGATCAAAAGGAGACGGAGTATGGAATAAGGTGTGGAAGTGTGTGGATTGATATCGAGGTAGGCATACTGTCAAAGGGAGTAGCAGCACTGACTGCTGGAGGCTTCCTTCTTTAGGAATTAACTAGACTCGAGGGAGGAAATACATGGGCATCAGTGACTGAAGGATTTCCATTCACTGGATGAGGACTCATGCGGATATAAAGAGCACGTTTCTGTTTTCAGACCTTTTGGCAAGTTTGGAAGAGCTGAAGACCTAAGGAATATAAGACTTGATTCCTCCAGATTACTGAGTTGGAAACAGGTTTCCCTGTCACTTACTGGAGGAATTTTGAGGTCTGTGTGTGCAAGTGAAGATGTATGTACAGTAATCTTATGCATGCCCTGAACCTCCTTCTGTCACTGGACCAAAGAGGAGAAAAACTTCTCAGTTGTGCAGTTTGGAAATTCTAGCGGTTTTTGCAAAGGTCCCTTTCAAAAATGACTTGAAGATTCTACTTTCTTTGCTAATTTGACAGTGAACTACTTTTATAAGGAATATTTTTCTTGTCTAGACAGGTAAACAAGGTAAAAGGTTAGATTATTTTTTTAGTAACTTGCAATACTGTAGTTTAGACAGGCTTGATGTTAAAGAGTGAGCTGTGGGGTTTGGGTTTTTTTTGTTTTGTTTTGTGGAAAATAAGAGAGGTCAGATGACTGTATGTTTTGGTTACATGGCAAGACTGTTCCTTGTATACTTAGACTAACATACCATCATTGTGAAGACATCTGTAATCCATTTGTTACGATTATCTTACCTGTGAGATGTTAGAAAACCTTGTGCACCAGTACCAGTAACAAGTGTGTGACTATGAGTCTACAGCTTGTTTTGTTGTTTAATGATGCAGAAAAAATATGCTAAGGTCATGGGTTAGCATGTCCTGTTAAATTCATCCTTAGGATATTTATCAAATCTAGGGAAAACATAAATTTTGTTGTCTTTTTAGCCGTGTTTCTCACTTGTTAAATACTTCTGACAGAGGAGGCTGCCCTTTTACTGTGTTCAGGAATTGCTTTAGTAACTTTGATTTTAATCCCTATACTGTATTGTGTGTGTGTAATTTTTTTTTTTTTCTTCACAGATGGGAAGTACTTTGGTCTGAGGCACCTACAAAGGTGAATGGTCCTCAGGCTCGGCAGTTCACACCTTGTATCAAACAGATAAACTTTCCCACAAACCTAATCCGACTGGAAGTGAACAGCTCTCTTCTGGACTACTACACTGAATTGGATGCAGTAGTGCTGCATGGTGTGAAAGAGAGACCCGTGCTTTCACTAAAGACTTCAATGATTGATATGAATGATATAGATGAAGATGAGGATGAAGAGAAGTATGGCTGTGGAATGGACACCCTTAATAAACAGTTCAGCATCGTTACCCTCAGGGAATGGCCGACCAACGGATATTTTGATAAACTGCCTTACGAGGTAAGAAAAGAATGCTTATACTCAATCGTTTTCTTGATCATTAAGGGTTCAAAGGTGCTTTACAGAGTATTGGTCAAGATTTTTTTTCTCAGTTACAGTTCCTTGCAAATCCCTGTGAATTCCTTGTGAATTTCCTGCAGTTATTGTATAGGTATGTCTGAGTTATATAAGTCTATCTACTCCCATGGGTGGATGTTAGATATTTGCATAGTTACTCCACTCTTATTTCTTAAGAATCTGTGCATTCACACAGTTTTTACACAAGTTATTCTTGCCTTTAATTTCCAGCTCTTGAACTTCGAAGGTTCTAGCAGCTTTCCAATAGTTTTTAGTCCTCATGGTTGACGAAGAAAATATACAAAAGAGATATGAAAAGGTTGAGTCAACATCTGGAAGTGGAAATAGTTTTTAGTAGGCTAAAAGTTTGTTTTCCTGTTCTTTCTCTTACAAAACTTACAGAACTTACAGAACTAGAGACTGCTATAATATTTTTGTATTATTATGAAATAAACTTCTTCCAGCCAGCTTAGTTTTGAAACGTGGTGTGGGTAAAGTGTCTTATAGATGGACTTCTGTACATTGTCTTGTTTCAATGCTTGCTGCTTTTTGTTCTATCATTAGCACAGAAAACAGTTATTAATAAACTCCTTTCAGATCCCCTGGAAGCATGGCAGTTGCAATTGTGCTCAGAGTCAGTAGATAAATATTTTCTTTCCTGTAATTTCCAATATAATGAGATTCTGGAGTATGATTGCTGAGTACTTTGTGCTGGCCAGGCCATTCTCAGTGGGATATATGTGTTTATGGAGGCTACTACCCTGGATAGTGTAAGAATTGAGAGACAAAACAATTACCTTCACCTTTCCTGAAATAAACTGTTTGCACATGATGGAGAGGAGCCTTTACTTGCCTGTCAGACCTGTGGGCTTGGGCAGAGACGAGTTTGTTCCTGCTCTCCAGTGTCCTGCAGTGTGACAAAAGCAGCAAGTGTTTATTTACTGTGGTAACTCATCCAATGCTCAGAGTGCTCATCGCTTGAACCAGGCTCGCTTTTGAAAGTGAAGGGAGTGTGGTGAGATGCTGCTGCTGATTGAAGGGCACTTGCAGAAATATCTGTTCAAATCATATAGTGTGTTGGTTTTATGACATCTTTTGTCTCTAAGTACCCGAATTTGACACATGAAGGCCATGGTTGAGTGACCACGTGTCCTAGTAACCTACAGAAGTTTGCTGTGCTTGTAAAGAAGAAAGAGAAAGGAAGAGAATGTAACAACTCTTATCTTTCTTCTCTTGAAAACAAACTTCTTGAGTTTGGTTTGGGTCTTCTTTGTTGTTGCTGCTGTGGAATAATAAATGAGGATACTAACTTCATCCTGAGTTAGCTGTAGTAGTGGTTTGGTTTTGATTTTTTTCCCTGGAGCCAGTGTAGTGTTTAATGTATTTTGCTGTTGGTGCTTGAATATCAGTACCAAAGTAAAAAAAGTACTTTGCATAGCTGTTTGCAAATATGTTGGTTTTAATAATTCAAAGAAATTAATTGTAGATAAAACTTCACTTAAATCTAGGAAATTTTCTTGTTTGAAAAAGCTGGCTAAATTGATTTGTAGTATAGTAGACTACCAGGGAGATTAATCAATCTCTTTATTGTTTCATGGGATCAAAGAATCATTAAGGTTGGAAAAGACTTCTAAAGAAGATCATTGAATCCAACCATAAATGGTTGATTATACATATTAAAATTTTAATTTAGGAAATATTTGTGTAGTCCTGGTACTCCTGTGAACTTTTGTCTTCATGTACTTTTTTTGTGTTTTGTGTTTTTCTGCCAACTGTCTACCAACTTCCTTTTTTTATCCATTTTTTAACATGTTTGGTTTCATGAATAAGTTTATATGGTCTATCAGTATCAAGAACATTTTTTTTTCTTCTACCTTGATTTAAAGAAACTGAAAATATGGGTGGAATATTTGTCAGAAAACTACAAAAGACTGTTTCTGGACTGGTTTTGTGACAGCAGAAATCCCAGTCTACTTCTTTCTAGTCCAGCTGGAAGGTTTGGGCATCAGAACAACAAAAATGTTGTACTTTGTAGTGTGACAGTTTTTTATCACACTGGGTATGGGAACAATGCTCTGCATGCTGTCTTCAAGACTGACAAGTGTCAGAGTTTTCTGGGAAGTGTTCGAACTGTGTAGGAATGAAGTAAGGCAACTGCTGACTCCTTCCAGTTTTCATTTATATGGTATATGAAAAATTGTATCTCTTTGTAAGGGCATATTGATTATCAATATGTAGCTGTCCTAAGTCTTCATACATATGTCTATTCTTTATTTAAGTTGTTTTGAGGCTTTTTCATACTACTCTCTGTAATTCTCAAAACACACAGGCTGAGTGGGTTGTGCTAAGTAGGCAGCAGTTCCTCCAGTCTTTGTTTTGCCTTTGTTGTCTTTCTGAAACTTCCATAGACTATCCTTTCATAGACTGTGGTGTTCCTCAAAATGGCATTAGGAATGGCTTGATGCACTGTGAGCTCAAAAATCGTTGTAAGAATTCTACAGCAGCATTATGGACTGCTCCTGCCAAAAACCCTGAGAAAAATGCTTGACTCACGGGGCACAGACTTCTGTAGAAAAAAAGTGTAAATTCTTGGATGACCTAGGTGAGAGAATTTTTCTACCCTGATTATAGACAGTGTTAACCAGCCCTAAATAGCTGTGAAGTACCTGTACTACCTATCATCTCTTCTCCAGAACTACCTTAAAATTGAGGAAGAATTTTGTAGGAGACACTTCATGTCCTTGTCTTTCTTCCCAGTCCTTTGACTAACTTGTGCTGCATGTAAAGTGGAAGGAGTACGGTCTTAAGTCTTAGATGGCTTTGCAGGAATGCTTGAGACCTGAAGGCCTGAACAAATTCAAAGCCTTTGGGAAAGGTGAAGAGTACCAGACACAGCATACATCTTGTGCAGTTTGAGACTCACCAAGATGTGCCAAGTACCAAAAACGCAGCCTTTGTTCTCCAGAGGAGAGTCAGGAGAAATCCTGCATGCTGCAGTCCAAAATAAATTTTTATATAAATTTTGATATAAAAAGATACAAATGACATTTTTGTCATTCCTTGAAGCAAATTTTCCCAAAAACTGCCTATAAGATTTATGAGCTGTTCATGTCTACTGGGGAAGTGAATTTCACTGTTAAATGTGGATTTGGCACCTCTGTTCCGTGAAATGGGTCCCAAAAGTAAGATCTGCATCCCTTAAATGATACTTAGAAGAATCAGAGCAATAAGCAAGAGCATTTTTAAGTGCAATACACTGTTTTTCCCCTCAACAGTAAACTTCTTGCATCTTTCCAGAACAAACTGTTGTAGGCTTCCAAGATTTCATGCCTTTCTTTGCAAAGGGAAATTCATGAGGTTCTTATAAGTCGTCTTAACAGCTGATGACCATGTGTCACAAGATTCCTTTCAGCTGATAGCCAGCATACTGCCAATTGCTGTAGCAGATAAGACTGAACAATGGCACGTGGAGAAAGTCCCTCCAGCTTTAGTCTTCCTAGAGTCTCAATTGTTTGATTGTGCAGTCTGCCAGTAAAATCCATTTCTGTTCTTTGGATCAAGAAGTGTCTTAAAACTTTTACAGCCTTCCACTGCTGAAAGGATCAGAGCCTATGGCCTGGTGATGCAAAATTGAGTCCACCAAAGCATGTTATGTGAGTAGAATAAGGAAAGAAAGAATAAGGAAAAAAGAGACCTAAATGTTTGTGTTTTGTGAAACAGTTGCAAGATCCACTTTTCAGGTGTTCACATGCAGTATTGAATGTGCATGCATTTGCTGGTGCAAGCCATACGACTGTGGAACCAGGGCTCTGTGTTTTCTTAGACTACGCTGAGAAATGTCAAAAGCTCTGGAATACCATCTTCTCCTTCCTGCCTTTTCCTCTTTGTGCATGTATCCTCTGTCCTTTATCTGAGTATGTTTTAGTATCAATTCTAATTGGAGTCCAAGCTGTAGCAGCTCTTGCTGCAGAATGAAAAAATTGCAAGTTGTTCATTTGCGTGCTTCTGAATAAGTGGTTTGCATAAGCCAGTGTATTTTTGTATTGTAAAATCATTTCATCTTTACGTTGGAGAACTGAAAAAGGAAATTTGTAGAAAGTGCAGATATTGTAGATTTGACCAACATCCAGGCATTCTTTTCTGACCAAGTCAATTTCTGCACTATTGTACTCTAGCCACAGAAAGTATTTTATTTGTTACAAACAGTTGTTGCCTTCTGTTATTCAGCAAAAAAGCTTTAAAACGCTAGAGAAGCTTTTGGTTCAGTAAGTATTATTAGGAACTACACCATCAGTAAAATTTTATTCTGTGTACTGAAGAGCGGAGATCCTCTCTGAGCTTATAAGCAACTTTGCAGTGGGTGAAATGTCTTTTTTTTTTTCCTCAAGGTGTTACAGTTTTTAACTGATCATTCAAAAAACGTTCATATATGTGAGATGCTGCAATCAGGGACTATGGCGATGATAAAACACACATGGGTTGGGTATGAATCAGGAATTAGAACAATTAGGAATTGTGCTTAGAACACAATGATTTTTTTACTGCTGTTTGTTGAGTTGTTGTGGATAATTATGATTTGGAAGCCTCCAGTTTTTGGAGTTTCACATTGTAGTGGCCGTTGATCTCACCACATGTTTAAAGCTGGCATGTGCCATGTTTGCCCTGGAAATGGGAGAGAAAGTACTTTTGTATTCTAAGTCCATCATAGCCTAAAAAGGCAATCAGTGTTGTATAAATTATATTTTGTGTTTCTTTTTATACTTCCTTTTGTTGTTTTTCCAATAAACTTTGGTTTTATTGATTTATAAGAAATTGTGAAATGATAATGATTGTCATAATTTTTCATAAAGGCAGAGTAAAAACTGTAAGAAACTGCATTATGAAATTAGTTTTCAAAGCAGATAGTCAGTTCTGTACCATTCTTGGAATTGCCATAAACACAACCTAACACAATAACAGCCCATCGTGTCACATACTCATGGTATCAAATTGTATGTTATGCTAGGATGCACATACATAAAAATCAGGTTTCTGACAGACACCAGACTCCAGGCTAACGGTGATTAATGGTTATTAGCCTGCACGTTTGGAACCTGTTTCCTTTTTTTAATCTAGAGGCGGAAAAAGAGCACTTTATAATGTAGTGTCATAGTAGTGACACTTCATTGTATGTTTTTGTTCTAGGTATTATGAAGTAGCGTAATTTCAGTAAAAAATAAAGACACATTGGTGGGTTTTTTCCTGATTGAGACATTTGTGTGGTGAGAGTTCTCATCTCACATGTGGAAAGATTGCAACAACCTCGTATGTTATGAAATACTCATTGAAGTCGTCAGTTAGTGTAAAGGGACATTGTTGAGGCATTTATAGTTTCATTCACCATTGTCTGTACTGCTCAGAAGTTACAAAATAACTTTTTTCTCATTGAAAAAAATGTGTTACTTTGCTTTTATCAGACATTATTATGTCACATTAATTGTAGACATAAATTCAGCTAACTGCAGCCTTTGCTGAGCTTTCAGATCTAGAAATCTTAGTATGTAACACAGGAGAAAAGTCTGAGGGAAAAGGCAGTAATAAAATAGATATTTAGGTGGCTTACAGAGTGTGGAATGGCTGAAAGGTTGCAAAATAGTTTGAAGCTGTCTTTCAGAATATTTAAAATTAAAGTAAATTGAATTGAAGTGAATTGATGATCTTAGAAAAATAGCTATATGTTTAAGTATCTGCTGTTTAGAATGATGAACAAAACTGTCTTGAGCAACTTCAAAGCTTAAGTATGGGACTGAGCCAAGCAAAAATCGAGATACTAACTTGGGATTATATCTATGTTAGCTCCTAGTTATTTTGGTCTTTCTCAGATTCCAAAATGTCAACAACCTAAATGTCAGTTGGGTGCAAACTTTGTTGATTATCATATATTAACTGCAGCACATATATATATATATATTGCTGTTACATTGAAATGGCTCTGCAGGTCCTCTGCACCAATTTGAGTCTTAGTTCCAGACACCTGCAGAGACAAAAAAACCGGGGCTGTTTTTAGGGGAGAAGAGCAGCAAGGAGAAGGGAAGAGGGAAGGCTGGAAATCAAGCATGAGAGAAACTGAAGTATATCAAACACTTTATTTTGGCATTGGAGTTGAAGTTAAATTTTTTAAGAGTCGTAGATCATGTTTGAAATCCAAATGCTAAATCTGGAGCTGAGTAGGAAGTAACATTTTCCATTTTGCAGGAAGTTGAATTGTTTTCTTATTTCTTCTCTTCCAAAAATGAAGTGGGGAGGAGGGGAGGTGGAAGGTAGCTGCATCATAAACTGGTGCACTGGAAGTACAATCTGTTTGGATCTCACAAAAAGCTCCATTTCTGTTTTATGTCAAGCATTTTATTCTGATTTTTGGCGGATTTGTCTTATAAATCCTTCTAAGACATTAAAATTAAACATGTTGGTATTTTGAAAGGACCAAAGGATTCTCTTCAGTTTAAGTTGATTAAGTTTAAAGTTGATTTGTGGGTGGTTTTGTTTTTTTGATTTACACTGATTCATTTCAGCAAGTTATTGTTTCCCACTCTGCTTGAAAACAGTCAATTTTAGTTATATAACTTGAATGCAGATACTTATATCTGTTAGAGTTAGCACTGGTAAAGTAAACATTAATTTTTAGATTTCGTTTTTCAAATCCATTTTCTCTCAGTTCCTAAGCTAAAGGAGATAGTTGTGTTTTTTGTTATTTCCTAAAGTGAGTATTTATGTCTCTCTTGGTGTTGATTTTTCTTTAGAAAGGAAAACAGAGCGTGATAAGAGAGGAGGGATATTTCTTAGTTTCTGAGTGTGACATAAGTCATTACGAAAACGTTTATAGCGATGCTAGTCAGAAAAGCTGGTGATTATTCTGAGATGATTCAACTGATACAGATAAAAAGGGGTTTTGCCTTTCAGATTTGACTCTATCGTAGAACAAAAATGCTCTCAAAGTATTACAGCAAGGAAGAGATTATGTTGTGAAAGGAGATATGAATATGTTAAATTTTTTACCTGGTTGCATAGTCCAGAGGAGAGAATATAAGATAGAAGACAAAGCACTGATTTTTAAATCAGGGAGAAGAGGATAACTCTGAAATCAGTTTAAGGTGTGGGGAAACTGGAACATGTTATGGCTTTTCCATGTACTTTGCAAATATGCTCCCATCTTAAAACCAAATCCAGAGAAGAAAGAGGATGCCAGTTCTATGTTCTGATCAAGGGCAGGGCAGACATTGTGAAGGGAAATATGTAAACACAGTGTTTACATATATATCACTGTTTAAATTAGCATGGGTGAAGAAACTTCTAATTTGAAAGCTTCCTGTCACTTTCATATGTTGATTTGCTTTTACCTTTCTTGTTTAGTATGTTGTCAAATTGAAAAGGCAGTGCAGTCCTATTTAATAGTTAATCAATGATTTATTTGAAAAGTTACTTTTAACTAAAAGGTTTTACTTTTCTTTGAAGTTAGAACATCTTTTCTTATTCCTTTACAGTTTTCCCTTAACATCTCAAGTGCTATATGACCACCTGTGACTTTTTTTTTCTGTTTTTAATATAGCTCATCCAGTTGATTTTGAGTCACCTTACAGTACCAGACCTGTGTAGACTAGCACAAACTTGTAAGCTGCTCTATCAACATTGCTGTGATCCTCTACAGTACATTCATCTCAGTTTACAACCTTACTGGGCAAGGATTAATGACACATCTCTGGAATACCTACAGTCTCGCTGCACTCTCATCCAATGGCTGAATTTATCTTGGACTGGAAACAGGGGAGCCATCTCTGTTTCTGGATTTAGCAGGTCAGTGTTAAATGTACAGAAGTGTTTTGACAAACTCTGTTTACAGAGCTGCTCTACAGTAGTTGAAACCTCATTAGAAGACAAATTATTTACTCTAAGGGGTGGGATTGTTGCGATGTAGAAAAAGACATCAGTTAAAACAGTGATAGATACTAAATACAGCAGCAGAAGTCCATTTCAGTATGTAGAGTCTGCATGTTCCAAGCTGGTTGTGACTGAAAGGCTTCTTCTGGGGGGTGCAGTGTTTTGCTTTCTTCTGGGCTTCCAAAACACTCCACTAGAACTGAGCTGTCAAAAATCCTTCTCAAGAGGAAAACGTTTGTGGTTGTTCTCTGTACAGATGAGTCATCAGTAGGACTGCATTAGAACAGCTGTAGTAATAAACTGATTGCATGCTTGTATAGTATGAGCCAAGTAATCACTGGAGTCCAATGTAAATGCAAATATTTTCATAAAAATGATTTAAAACATTAGCCCTCTTGGAAAACAGGGGGGTTGCATGTGCATATTCCATTGAGTTGAAAATACGACTGCTGTAGGTCATTAAAATAGCAAATTTGCAGGGATTCTTCTCTGTTTAACAGCCGTGTTCTCTGCTTTCTTTAAGATATCATTTCTTGCTGCTTTTCTCATTAGCATTAGTTAAACAGCTTCTATCAATGCATTTCATTTAAGCAAAAATTGCCCCTTCAACCAAGGGGTAATCAGCAATGTCAGGTGAAAGCAGAAATGGACTGATAAGAAACAGACATGTTTAATGTATCTGAAAAAGTTGTCTTAACTTGTCTGAATAAAAAGATTAAATCAAGTTAAATGCAGACATTTTCTTTCCTTTTGTGCCTGAGTGCCTTACCTGAGGAAGTAAAATATTTTTAAGGAATACTTTGTCAAGATGAGAATGCTGCTACTGTTTTTCCTGACCTTCCAGTATAATCCAAGAACCCTGTGCTCTTTTGTTCTTGTTGGTAGCAGATGCAAATAAACATCAGCTAGTTGTTGAATGGGGTACAAACCTTTCTTCTAAATTTGGATTTCATATTAGATACATTATGCAGAGGATAAATATGCAAGCTTTTAATTGAGAATTCAACTCTGAAATCATGAAGTGCTTGCTTTCTGATGCTTAGCTATTAAGTCTGTCTTATGAAAACATATGTGCATCTTTGTGACAACCTTTTTTCATTCTCATGAATTTGGGTTTTTTAACTGAGTACTGCTAAAATTTTTTGTAGTCTCAAAAGAAATTATTATCAAATTCAGAGAATTATAAACTTTATAGTTCTGGTATTTCTGACTTCCAGTTAGTTAAAAATAGCTTTATTGCTAATTACTTTTCTTTTTACTTCAGTGCTTAACAAATAGTAGCACTTATGTGTATTCAGCATTTCTAAAATAATACGTATTCATTATTTGACTATTAATAATCTGTGAATAAACATGTTCAATTTATATTTGTTTTAAGGGATTATATTTATTTGTAACAAGGGGAAAAATGTTTTTGGACATTGATGCAAGTCTGAAGTTATCTGCAGTTTTAGGAAAAAGTACTTCCTGGAAGAGGTACATGCAGTCTGGGAATGGGAGATGCAGTTCAATCGTAAATTTTTGAAGCAAAGTTATAAGCTAAGTAATTTTCATGTCTAAATTCTGCTTATCATTTTTCCTTCTGAAAAAAAATTCTCTACTGTAACTATACCTGGTTTTAAACCTTTTCTTTTTTCTATTGCAGAAATAGTTTTAAAACTCTTTGTTCTGTAAAAGTGTCTTTTCTAGTAAAATTTTCCAGCACAGGTTTTTCTTTTGACATCCTTCATCAGCATATTTGTCAAATTTTTTGACCTTCAGGAGAAGATAATTTGCTACTCATTTGCTATGAAAGTATCTACTAATAGAGGATTCTTACTAGAATCAGAGTCGCTTTTCAAAAGTATTAATGTAACCTTTGTCAAAAAAGCAGCTTCCTGGTTAAGAGATACTGTTCCTTGGCAGATAAATCTGTCAATAAATGACAGTTCTATTGCCCTGGCTGTCATTAAGATACCACCACCCTGGGGATATTACAGCATCCTTGACACATAACTGTGAATTCCCACAATTTTTCCTTTTGTCCAAAACCAGGACATCTATATTTTTGTATTTTTATCATCATTTGGTGTTACAGTCGTCACCGTTGAATTCAAAACTTAACAGTTTGTTATGATTTCTGCAAGTCAGGACATGTTTAAATGCTACTCTGGCTCAAATCTTATTTTGGAAAATACCTTTCAAAAACATTTTCATCTGTAATTTCTTAAGACAGTCTTGAAAGTAGTAGGTTGTATAAATTTGTGTGTTGCTTTAAAATGTTCATATATGCATGAAATTATTGAAAATATGTATTTTCTTATATAATGTATTAAAGTGGAAAGTTTTTTAAAGAGTAATTTTAAAAAATGTGACTGAAGCAAATACTGTATTATCATGAGAAGACAGAATGCTTCAGGCATATGAACATCCTGAGGCAAAGCTGAAGGTATTTTAACTTATTGATAGCATCTACTCCTTAGGGCTAAATATTACTACCATAAATTTTTCATTTCGGCATATAATGTAAATTACCTAAACTTTATATTAGACTGAAATGAAAGTGTACCAAAAAGTGAAAGACAAATTAAATGAGTATCTGAGCAGTCTCAAGAGTCTGGAATGCAAAATGACTGGGATTAAGGAAAGATTTCATAGCAATCATTGCATAAGCAGCACTGCACTTCTCTTGGCTTTAAAGGTGTGGTGGATCTCTTCATGCCAGGAGGGAATATCGGTGTGGGAGGGTAAGACCTGTGTAAGAAGAGTGAGGCAAGTCAAACTGGAGGTGTACTAAATATCGAGTTGAATAAATGCTCTGAGGTTTAAACAGCGTAAGGACAGTGACAGTTTAAAAACAGAGTGCTGTATGCAGATTTCTGTGGATCACTGATAAAGCCATTAGCTTGTTTAAGTTCTTCTGCTTTAAATATCTGAGATATTAGGATTTTTATTTACATCTGACATTTTATACTGTGAAAGTGAGTTAATAATGTTTTATTTTCAGGTTAGTGGTGCAGTGTTTGCATGTCAGGCACGCCCAGGAATATTTCTTTAACAATTTTGTTGTTGTTCACGTTTGAAGGCTTTAGTTTCTTTTGGTAGAAGTGTATTTCGCCAGTGTTTAACTTGGCAAGGCTTTGCTACAAATCAGACTAGCAGGAAGGTCAGAGAAATTACTGAAATGTCACAGGAAATAGGAGTAATGTGACTTTACAGGGATTCTCAATTTAAAAATCATGTCTCTTGCTTTAGTTTCCACAGATTTTTAGTAAAACTAGGGTTGCTGTAAGTGAGATTAAACAATAATGTTTGGTTTGCATTTTTTCCTTGAAATAGTTTAATCTGTGGTGAGAAAAGCATAAGATGGGTACTCAATATTCTTCCTACTTGCTTGCAATGTTTTAGAATTTAGTTACCAAAAAGAATGGGTAATATGTGCTAGTGTAGAAAATACCATTGTAACAATTAGAATACCTTAGAGAAAGGGAAGGTGACTTAATTTTAAAAACAAAATCATCTTATTAAGTCTCACTCTCAAGCATGCATACTTGCATGCACCAGGACAGCCAAGACGTGTCCAAATCAATTTGTGTAGCATGTGGTCTCACCATCCTATGCTGCTTCTGTCCTTCATCTCCTAATCTGTGTGTCCTGAGAAACTGCTCAGACATATGTTCAAGGATCTTGTCGACCTGCTAATCTGACTTCCACCAACACACACCTCTGTACCAGCCCCTGTAATGCCATTTGTTGTTTCTCATTCTTCTACACTTCTGTGTACCCAACTGTTCTCTGCTCATACCAATCTTAACACTTTTGTTACAATTACCTGTTCTAAATGCTGCTGCTGTCATGTAACACAGCAGACTTGAAAGGAGAAGCATCACTGTGAATATAAAATTACCTGAATGTGTTTTTAAGAAGCATTATAAAATGTAATTCTGCAAGCCATTGTATTAAATGCAAGACTGCAACTGCAAGACAGGAAGTCCTCTGCTGAGTTTGTGCTAGTAATCCTATAGATTGAACTACAGTAGGAAAGAGAAGACCTCAGGATCTTAGAAGTGAAATGAGAAAGAATAAAATCCCAGTGGGTTCTTGACATTTTTCTTGTCTGGTGGCAGGCTCTGGAAATAGGAGACCTGAGTGGCTGAGGGAGCACGCAGTTGGCTTGATGCAAACCCAGATGGTTGTTTTCAGGAAATACTGATTCTAGCAGGCTGATGCCAAGGAAGGCCAGGCATACGGGCAGTGTTATATCTATATGTTTAGTAATGGAGGTAACATTCCTCGGGTGGATGCTGGTATAAGGTAACACTACAAAGGAAAGTGCTAAAGGGAAAAACCAATCTATGTAACCCTGTTGTTCACAAATGGAAGTTGCTTCCCCTCTCTACCCTCCCCCTCGGATAACAGATTCAAATATATGCCAGTGAGTATAAAATTAGTACTGAAGATTTTAATTGAAAATACATGTGGTAAAATCAGCATGATTGAAAACCATTGTGATAATTGTGTTTAAGAAGGATGAATAGATGAAAGAGGACTGGACTGTGATCTCTGCTTGCTGTAGAGTTTTCAGTAAGTTTGAACTAAGGGATATAGAGTAAGTGGGGATCATGAAGGTAACACTGAACTGTAGGTTTTGGATCCGGTGCAGTTCCACCAGGAACCATTGGAGCAAACATGATGTTTTCAGTACCCTTGTAAGCATATGTCTAAAGGTATTTTGAGAATTTTGTTTGAGAAGTCTTATGTTCTGACATGAAGAGTGCCATCAAAAAACAAAACAAAACCCAAACAAAAACCACCAGAACACAAAACCATAAAACTCAAACCAAGACCCAAACCCCCAAAAACTTGGGAAAACAATAAAAAACCCCAAAACTGAACAACCAAAAAACCTGAAATACTGCACTCTAGAATGAGGATAAACTTTGAGGGAAAGACCCAATCCAGTGTCTAGCAAAAGAAATGTACATGTTCACGTTATTTTAGATTATTTAGTTATATTTTAGAACAAATATGAATGGATGAAATCACTTGAGAAATTGTGTGTATAAAGTATTGATAATAAAAGCAAAGCTAAAGGTATGGATGACTGCAGAACAGAGGAGAGACTGAAATCAGACACTGGTCAATCTTCAGTGATTAAAGGAGAGGTACGCGAAGAAATTTTGATTTGAGTAGAAGATACTTTTTTGGATGTTGTTTTCAAAGTAGCTAAGTCAGAGCCAGTCATCCAGAGTATGCTAAGTCTCAGAAATAAGAAGACCATGCCACATTTGTTTTGAAAGCATGAGAATTGTATTTTACCTTGCCATATGGCTCTACATGGAGATCCATGTAGAAAGACATACGCAAAAATCTCTATTCTGAGCGGTCTGTTAAGTGCAGACAAAAATCGGGGTGTCTCCATGGTTTAGAGAACTCTGCATTTCGACCTAGTGGTCTCTGTCCTGTGCTGCCTGGTGACTTCCTCAGATTCCTCCTCTGTTTCTGTTCATCTCTTTTCTACATGCCTCTCTGCTCATTCTTATACCCTGCTGTTATGTCCCTTATCCCCCTTGTGTTTCTCTTTAATGTCTCCTAAATAACCTTTTCCAAAAAAGGCAGCAAAGCCGTGAAGGGCAATGCTTGTTGCTGTCGCTGTGTTTGCTATCTGCCCGTGTGTTTCAAGTGTAATGAGTTTAAATAAAACATTATGAGGATAATAACTCCTCAAGCTGGTGAGCCTGGAGTTCTTCTCCAAGTCTAGGGGGTTAATTTAGTATTTCCCTGACCTGCTAATATTAACTTTTAATAGTCCTAGAAAGAGAAAAGCATTGATCTGTACTAATATTTATAGCAGCCAAGCCCTGTTAAATTATGTGGCAGTTAAACTAACATCCATTATTGTAATGGTGTAATTCATAAAATATTTATTCATTACCAAATTAAAAGCTAGATGTATAATAAGTGGCAACTGACAAAGTTTTATGGAAAATATTACCATTCAAACAAACTGGATAATTTGTTGATGAAAGAAGCTGTGTGAATGTATTGTTAAAGCACTCATTAAATAGAGGAATTGGCTAATTGGTAATCAACAGTGTATCCGTATATCTCTGCTCTGATTTCCATCCTGCATTTCTCCATGACAGTGTTGAACTCTATTGCTAGTCTAAAATAGCAGCTTAATGTTTAAATACCCAATGTTAATTGTTGTGAATTGTCATGTCATTTCAGCTCTGACATTCCCATAGGAAGGCTCATCAGTCTAGACCAATTCACCAGTATGGAAACAGCAAATAAGTGCTTGGTGTTTGATTAAACTGCTTTGACAGGCTAAAATAGGTTCTACAGAGGGACTTCAGAGTTAGGCAAAAGGAGTGGAGGCCTAGATTTGGATACATGGCAGAACTCCTGTGGCTCTGGGACTTATGTCTTCCCTTTCATGTCTCAGACCCTCTCCTTGTTTCTGTTCACATAAGCTCATAGAAACGTTGGATGTTAGGGATCTCTGAGGGTCGTCTAGTCTAGGCCCCCACTTGAAGTACCAGTGTCCCCAGTGCTAGATCAGGTCAATCAAGGTTTCAGGTGACTCTTGGAAACATCCAGGGCTGGAGATGCCACCGATGGAGTCTCTCTCTGTATTGCATAGGATCTGCTTAGTCAAACTAAGGCCACATAATATGCAAGATGAGAGGAGTAAAGAAGGGTGATGATGAATGACAAGTATGACTTGAGTGAGTAATGAAAATACAAGGAGAAGGTTTGAAAACTTTGAAATCTTGACAGGTGGATTTCAAGTCCTGTGCTACTGTTGGTGTCGTTGAGGAATGCCTCCATGAATGTGTCTGCTTCTAAGACCAGCAGCAGTTTCATCACAAGGTTCAGCAGGAGCAGATGCTTGGGAAGGCTAATAACTCTTTAATTGTAGCAATAGGAGTTTTTGTCCAAGCAGATGCTTTGTTTCTGCTGTATCAGTTAAACCCAAGAGGTGACTTTGTGGAAGAAGTATCAGAACCTGACTCTGCTTTGTCTGCATGAAGGTTTTTGTAGGATAGAACTGGTAATAGAGCGGGTCAGAATATTTACTATGAGAAACTAATTCATGCTCTTTCACAAGTAGATCCATTATTCTACAAAATAATATGGGAAAGTGATTGCAGCCTGTAGTTTAAGAACTTAGTTTTTCTTCTACTGGAGAAACCATAAAAATACAACAAAAGCATGGCAAATATGTGTGGGGTTTTATCGTATTACATATCAAACTTACAAGTCCAGTGATTGATTTACAGTTTGAAGGTTATCTTTGCAATAAAAAGGGACTTAAGCTTGTCACATAAGCTTGTGTGTTTTTAGTTAAAACTGGGATTAGAGATAATAGAGCTTGAGTTTCTGACACAAGATCTCTGACAGGAAGTGTAATTCATGTAGAGACCATCAAAGTTTCTAAATTTTGGATCTTTAGTCATCTGATATCCTAATTTGTTACAATTCCAATGAAAGGGAAGTGAAATAGTCCTCAGGAATTTCTGTTCTAGAACAGCTACCAAATGTTCTTTTTGAGTTATTTGTTAATGTAAGGAATAAGGGTTTTTTTTTCTGAAAGTCTTAAAACACTTGGTTTAACCACATTTTTACACTTGAAGATTTTTCTCAGATAAGTATGAAATTATTAGGGGAAACTTGCAGGCCATTGTCAGAATTGGCCTTGGCCTGTCTAGAAGCATTTCAGACATTATCAGTGTTGTACTTTGGTCCATTGTCTCAGAGTAAATGCTAAGAACAAAGCTTGTTCCAACTTTCTAAACAAAACAGAATTGTTAAGACTAATGGCTTTTCTTGGTCGAAAGGAATTATTTCCTGATTTACATGTTTAAGATTTGGACAGTATTCAGACTCTCACCTGAAAGTATGTTTATTTTTCACTTAAAATGTGTTATTTTACAGGTTCTTGAAAGTTTGTGGCTCTGAACTAGTACGTCTTGAATTGTCTTGTGGCCATTTCCTCAATGAGACGTGCTTGGAGGTCATCACTGAAATGTGTCCAAATCTTCAGGAATTAAATCTCTCATCATGTGATAAAATACCACCTCAGGCTTTCAACCATATAGCCAAAGTAGGCAGCCTAAAGCGTCTCATTCTCTACAGAACGAAAGTGGAGGTAGGAACAAGTAATTTTAATCTTTGCAATAAATATTTTCAATCCCGGTAGGATAAAGTTGTGTATTTTTTTCAGTAATGAAGAATTCAATTAGAAGGCCTAACAAGGTATCTGATGGGGATTTGGTAACACCAGGTAGTTAGATTAAAGGGTAGTCTATCTTGAATGATTGGCATTTGCTGTGGCTATGTCATAGTCACCATGAAGCCAGTGCCCCTCAGTAACTTCTTACTTTGTGGTAGTTGCTCTGCAGCAATTCTTATTTTCTTCAATCTAAAAAACAAATTGGTGAGCGTGCTTTAAAGTGCATTTTTTATAGAGCTGAATTAGTGCCTTGGGTGTGTTTCTGTTCTGATTTTACATCGCTGATCTTTCTGTAAATCTTGGGTAAATCTCCTTTATTTCATTTTGACCACTGGCTCTAATTTACAAGGCTTTCTCAGATACAGGAAATATCATTGTATCAAAGGTAACGATTGTATAATTTTATTATTTTCTACTGTTGATTGATTAGAATCTTCTTGATTCTGCTCAGGTAACTTCTCAAGTTTGAGAATTCATGCTTGTAATAGCACAGTAGCTGAGATATACTCTGAAGTGATTGGTAACTCATTTATCCTCTATCGCTTTGCTGAACAGAGCTTGAAATTAGATTGAATGTAGGTGGTAAAGATTTCTTGACTTTGAAGCCCTTAAATTGTGAAGATTCATTTCTGCCTTTCATGTGTATGGACATGCGTCTGCTTGTAGCTGCCAAGAACGTTCATTCATAATCAAGTTTTCTTAAGACTGTGCTTGCATTTTATCCATAAGTGTAAACAAAAGGCACTGTTCCTAACAAACCGTGGAAGAGAAGTTTCTAGAAATTTAAATAGGTAAATTGGAGAGGATGCTTTTGTATTACTTGCTAATATGAAGTCACTTAACAACATACACTGTGCATCCCAGGTAGTAAAGTAAAGTGAAGAGAATGAAGATGTGGCATAGGATTTGAATTAGAGCATTAGAGTTACAAAGCGCACAGGTTTGTAGAAAGAACATTACCTTTCTCAGCATTAGCTTCTCTTAATGTCTTTGGATTTCTACACAAAATAGGCTGCCATTCCTTCTGTACTTTTCAGCTGGTACAGAGATGCCTGGTAGTAAGTGGTGGCTCTACACAAAACAGGATAGGCTGATCAAGCATGCTGTGAAGTGAGTGAGACTTCTGTAAAACTTGTCAAAGAGCTGTAATATAGTTGTGTTCTTTATTTTTGTGAAATTTCTACTACTGTCTTTGTTGTTGGAGCTTCTAAAGAGCAAACAAAGGAACAATGCTAATAATTAATCAGGAGCTTGGCGTTGCGTTGTAGCCAACTGGGTCTGATCAGTGAAAAGAATCTGAAGCTGTGAATCCACAAAGGAAAACTCGAACTGATAACAAGTGTGTATTTATTGAGAGAAAGTAAGAAGGTGAGAACAACAGAGCTGATACAGTCCTGTGTTTAAGTTCTGTCTCAAAATCTAAGAAGAAGAAACCAAAAGAAAAATCTGTTCATTTCATTTTAGCCTGTTTTCCTAAATAATTCAGTGAGTTGGGGTTTTTTTCTTAAACCAAATAATAACCATCAAATTTCCATGTCTTAGAGCAGATCTGGGTAAAAAAAAAAGTACAACTTTTTCTTTTGGTTGTGAATTTGGACATGTATTTAAATAACGTAAGATGAGATAAAGAGTCTCCATCCTTTTTGTCAGTATATGATAAAGCTGTTCCTGGTTTTGCATTATGCTTTTAAAAAATTACAGAATTAACATTGTAATTAAAAAAAAAATTGTATTTCTTCCATATACATTCCCAAGTACCTGCCCAGGTTCAGGATTTCCTTGCTCAGTCTGTCATGAAGTAGTCTTTCCTTTTTTATTCTTGACTTTTAATGCTAAAAAAGAAGAGGAAAAAAGTTCTTTCAACATCTAAATTTAAAGTATTTGTCGTACTTTTCCCATTTATATGATTACTCTGATGACACTAATAGATAAATTCTAAGAAAATGCTCTACAGAAAATTGACTACTGTTAATGATTTTTGTGTTGGGTACATAGATTTTGAGCACAGTGGAAACATAATAAAATTGATAACATGTTTGTCATCTGAGCAGTTGTTATTACAGTTTCTTGTTATTTTAGCTGTTCCCTTTGAATAGGTTTTGGCTTTGAAAGTGTTACCGTTGTCTCTGTAATCAAAACTTCAATTTTTAAGTGTCTGGTTTTAATGTAATGGGCAGTGTGGGTGTTCTGCTACTTATTGCACTGCCTCTTTGGAAGATAGCTGTGCTATCTGGAGAAGGTTATGTTCTTTGACCCTAACCCTACTGATTCTTAAGGGCCATGTATAATGTTATTTCCTTAGCTTACTGAGAGCGAGTTTGTGTGTGTAAAATTGTTTTCAGACCTCTGAGTTGAAACTGCCAATGGCTTTGAATTCTTCCAGCCTTTCTGTTAGAAGAGGGAAAACCCAGTGACCTTCAGTAACTTTTCAGTAACTATAAAAAAAAAATGTCCTGCATTGCTATAGTCCTACACACAAAATGCAGCTCATTTTCCCGGTACTTAAGTTCATTTTTAAAAGGTTTAATTCTTAAAGATTGTTTGATAATGTGTATGTTTGAAATAATTTGTAACTTGCTTTGAGAAACTAATCTCAACGTTTTATAAATGTAATTTCTGTGCACTCAAGACCACTGTTATACTTGTGGGATTTTTGTGCTGGTGGTTTTGGTATTTACTGATACATAATTCCTTAGTGTTTATTCATTGAAAGTGTATTCACAGCATAATTTAAGCGCTTGTTGGCATTGATACATTTGAAGATTACAATGAACAATGGAAGTATTATTTTATATACAGTAACTGGCAATGCACATCTTTATGCTTTTAAGCATGAATATTATCTTGATTTAATGCTTATCATGAAGTATTCAATCCATATAAATACTGCAACCAAAACTGTATTTTAAAGAAACTGAAGCCACAATTAGAGTAGGAGAACTTGTCAGTCTCCTTGTTGCTGGGTGTAAATTGTAACATAAGGTTACGTATTATAAAGAATTCAGAATATCATGCAACATGAAATATATAAAGAAAAAGTTCTTAAGGTTTATATTGCAATTATATTTAAAATACAAAACAAACGAAGTTTAAATCTAGTTGCAGTGGGCAAAGGACTTTGTTTTTTTCACACACTTTTAAGCAAATGTTTTATTTATAAATTTTATCTCTGATACCTTTGACCAAAAGCAAATTTGGAACTTGGGCAACTGTGACAAAATTCTGGAAATCTTGGATACCAAAGAGAAGCATAAGAATCTTAGCAGTAAATGTAATAGTTCTTATTTTCTTATACCATGAGCAATAACAGAGTTAATGCTGCCATAAAATTGTTCTACAGAGTTTTCAGAAATAACCTGTTATGGGTCATGCTATACTTTTGAGAGCTGTTGTCTGAGGTTTTTCAGTTTGGACAAAATTTCCTTTGGCTTGGATATAACCCTTTAGGATTAAGAGTTGCGAGCAAATAGTGGCGATAAAACGGTGAAAACCTCTAGCTGGAATGTGGACTTTTAGAAGTAGTTTGAGCTGGTGACAAATAATCATGCAATGAAGGGCCTTGATGGTGCTTTCTGATTTCATGTTGGGCTCATAGGATGGAATTCTGTCATTTGAGCTTATAATGGGAAGAGTGAGGGGAAAGAATGAAGGTGTAAAACAGATTTACAGACATAAGGGAGGACATAATTTGACCAAATGAAGCAAAACCAAAATACAGTAATTGAATTAACTACAGAGACTATTACTTTCATTTAATTAATTCAGTAATTGTCATGTTGCTGTGTCCCAGTCCCTGCTGTATCCCTGACGCTGCCGAGCAGCTGTAGAGAACAAAAAGGTGCCCCTGTACATCCTGAATCCCAGCTTGCAAATTACAGTGTACCTGTTTGTGAGGAAGCAAGCGTTCTGACTTTTGAAAGACTACACCTGCACTCAGTAATAAAGTTCATTTGACCTTCATTTGCATATACTCTCATTCTTCTATTACCTGATGCTCATACAGTGTTCATATTGTATCTCTTTTTAAACCTGTGTCATGAAGTTTTGGAGGCAAAAGTTTTATCACTGTCCAGTTCTTCATCTCAGAAATGGTCCAATAATCCAAGCGTTTTAGGAGGAGATGGGGAGCTAATTTTTAGCAAATACATTCCAGTTCTCTCCCTTTTCATTATTTCTTTTTGTGGAGTGATATCTGATGGATGCTTGAGGGAGAACAGACTTCCTGTTCCAATGCCAGCTTTTACTGTGTAGGAAAATGTTTTTGCTGACATGTTTATTTTGAATCTATAAATGAAAATGGTCTGCGTTAGTGTCAGAGGGCATCACTCAAATACGCTTTGATTGTGGTCATAAAGGGCAGGCTTGAGGGTTATCCCCTCAAACATCAGTTGAGAAGTTGTGAAAGGGATTGGCTCCTACATCTGTTGACAGCTTTTTTCAATGAGGTTGGAGACACCAGCTGACCTGGAGCCGGGTGGTCTGGGATAAACAATCTCCAGAAGTTCCTTTCCACTCTTTGGGCTCTTCTGTGATTCTGTGACTTTGTGCTGATGGCACTAGTTGAGGACTTAACCCATGAGCTTTGTTTTCCTCATGTGTGACCAGGACAACTGCCACACTTTTTCCAGCGTTAAAATTTGTGTAGTAAACTGGTGATTTTGTAGCTGTGGTATGAGGATAGATAAACAAAAGGCTGAGATTCTCTGACATGTCTGGTTCTATATATAGGATACTCTGCATTGGGGTGTGTGTAAGGAAACCATACTTAAAGAAGGGAGGAAGCAGTCTTTAATGGGACCCTAAGATTCTTTTATCTAAGCATTCACTTCAATGAAAAATTTGAAGAAGAAATTGTAGAAGAATAAAGGTCTTGTAAAAGATTTAGGCTCTTGTTTCACTGAGAGGCTGGAAGAATTCCCAATTTATGTCATACACAGTTCTTCTGAGAAAGGAAAAAACAGCCTGTTGTTTGTCTCCAGAAAAAAAGTAACAAATTTAAAAACAGCTTTTCAGATTTTTCTATAGAAAGAAAGTTTATTAAAAAGTGCAGCCTATTTCTTCCCTAACCCAACCCCAAAGTAAAACTTTGTTTTTCTTAAGCTCATCCTTTAATCTTCCAGAGCCACACTGTGGTGCACTTATTTTCATGCCTTGTATGATAGTGCAACCATTATATGATAGCCATATTATAGTGGATCATTTGTATTTTTTAAACCCTTTTTATTTTTTTCTAATCTCTGAGTACTTGACGATAAAACTGCAATGAGTAAATAGTCAGATATTCAAAGTGCATCTTTCACAGGTGAATCACATCTGCCAGACAGAAGGGTTTTCTGTTTGAACAGATACTGAGCTCAGGCTATCTGTTGGATGCTTTCCTTTCATACTAACGTTAGAAATGATTTACACTTCCTGCTGTATCATGAATGTAAAAAATCCTGAAAAAAGTCAAACAAGTTTCTGTCTCGCCAACTGTATTTCTCTGGCACCAGTATTTGGTTTCTCTGCTGATGGGTTGTCTGTTTAAACCAACAATGCAAGGCATCATCTCAGTCAAAACTTATGTGTGATGGCCAAGGCCTTTACAAAGACAGGTAAGATACAATTTAGTCCGATATCAGCTATTTAGTTGCACTGTTCACAACACATAACTGTCTTCCAGGCTGGCATGTATTACTGAGTGGAAGGCTTTGATGTTTGGGCAGACCTGTCACCTGTCTTGTGTGGAGTAAATTAGGATTTCAAATAGTAATCTCATCTCTTGTCCAAGACGGGATCAGCTCTGTCCTTTGTGACAAGACATTTTTCTGACCTGTTCATAAAGATTGCAGAGAACCTGCAGGCGGTTTTCCCTTTTTCTGGGGTTTAGGACTAGCTGCAATATTTGTGAAATCTCCTCTGTAATGTTGTGTTTAGTAACGCTATTCATATCCTTCTAATCAGTTCAACATCAGTCTTCTCTCTGAAAGCAACTTCTGCACTGTATGTTTTCCTCATCTAAAAACGTCTTCCCTGAGAATGGAGGATAGAACAGACCATTTTAGTTGCCCCCTTTGAACTCTTCCTGTTGTCTGTGCTGTATTACAAAAATTAAGAATTTTAGTAGGTGTTGTTTTGGCTTGGATGGCAAAAGAAATATAGACCACTGAAGCCGTGACTCCACAATGAAAAAGTAAATCTTAAGTTTGTTTCCAGAGTGGGTTTTTGGTTTGTTTTGCTATATTTTTAATCATCTACTCTTTTCTCAATCTCTGTAAAAGGGAGCAGGTACGAAGCTAAACTTCAGTTTTGGATCAGGGAAAACTCAAAAAAATCTTCAAACTATTATACATGTCTTGGGTGACAGGCTCAAGAATGTTGTTGGATGGATAGTCTTTGATTTGACTGTCTCTGCTTGGCTGAGAAACTGAAATTGGACTCCAAGTTAAAACTTGCTGATGCAGAATTTAGGTGGCCTCTTAGCTCCTCTTGTGAAGCACTCTAGCATTTGAAGTTTGGCCTGTGCTACAGCTTCAGGATGGGGTGATTGCCTTGCTCTTTTCCTTTGCTTGGATTGGAGTGCTATGGCTCATGTTGTATTGCAAGTCAGAGAGATGAATTGTACAGACAGATGGCTTGAAACAGACAGGTTATTACAATGATAGTCCTTCTATATGGAGTGCATATGGATTCTGTGAGCTGCCATTCTCTCCTGCTATTTTCTTGTCTTTTGCCACCTGGATTCTCAGTTGACTGAGGCACAGCTAGGCATGCACAAAGGGTTTTTTTCTTCTTACATGACATATGCAAAGCCCACCTCAGTTACAGAAGAACAGACACTGCGTCTGAAAGAAATCTGGCTTGCTGTGTGTGGGCATGTATGCACCCCTGAAGAGGAATTAATATAGCCAGTATAATTAATGTTGAGTATGTAGTTGTTTACTCTTGGGCTTGACTTGGCATGGTTTGTGATGGTATGACATGGTATTCTACCAAGCTCCTTTCTATTACCCAGATTTCTAGTGTATTTTTTAAAGTTGTTTGGGTTTTTTAAATAATGGTTTAAAATAATACTTTAGGTGTCACAGGTTGTGAAAAGACCTGTGGACTCAGTGCATGTGAGTGCAGGGACTATCTTAAATAGAGAGGGATGAGAAAGGTACTCTGAGAGATGCATCACATTCCTGTTGAAGTTAACATAAGGAGCTCCATTATCTATCAAGATAACTATGAGCACTAGTCTTCCTATCTATTTTACCCCTTTCTGAAGAAGTATGGAATTGATCTCACACCCTACAAGCTGTTCAGAGTGACTGTTCGCTTTTGTGCTGTTTGTGTCAATTAAAGAAAGAAATTACTGGTTCCCATCCTTTCAGGCCAGTGTTTGAATTCCAATCTGGAAACCGATACTAAAAAGCTTGGTGGAATGCAGCAAGGTACTCAGCTTTCCTGTGGAGTCACCTGGATACCTGCAGAAACCCTGTTTAGAACTGTCAGAGACTGCTTTGTTTATCTCCAGCGTTTAGGGTTTGTAGAGAGGGATTTGGGGATTTTGCTTTTAGTTGTGCACCTGAGTTAGGTTCTAAAGCTCATAGCTTTCACTGAGTTAAATAGTAAAGACTATGCCTCATTCTCTTTGAGTTAGTCATTTATTCATGTTTAGTGATCCAAATGAAACATTTGCTTAGTTAGTGAGTAATTTAAATGATTTGGATATTTACACATTTATGAGCTTTAAAGTGTTCTTAATAACATCTTTAACAGTGACTTTTCAACGCTCTTGTGTTCCATTCCCTAGCTACCTTTTCCTTTGAAAACATGAATGAAAGTTAAGCAAGCAAGTGAATAGTGACTTTGTGAGACTTCTACCAAGATATATGTGAGGAAGGCTTACTCTTAGCATCTACGTTTAGGCTGCCTTTGGGAAATCAGATCTTGTAAGGCCAAGTTGGAATCGAGATTCCATACCTGTCAAGCGTTGGGTGTTTATAATTGCTCCCCGGAGACACCTAAATTAGGTGTCTGAAATGGTCTCTGTGAATACCCCGTGCTTTGTCCCTGTTCTGTGTCTGCCAGTCTTTCTGTGCAAGGAATCACATGTTACTTCTTGGTGATAGGACAAAGGATGAGTTTCTGCCAAGTTTCATTAGAAAGCGACAAACTGAGGAAACTGCATAAAGCATTTTTTAACTGCAAACTTCCTGCAAAGAAGTAAATTTATGTTTAAAAATCTATAAATTATACTACCCATGCATACAAACATTGTTGACTAGTGTTCTTTTTGGAATTACACTTAATAGCAGTAGATTATTTGTCACTTGTATATTGCTTGGGCTCTTTTTCTGCTAGAAACTGTTGAATATCCTGCAGAAATCCACATACTTTTATTGTTACTATGTTGTGAAGCTTAATCCTGTTTTCAACCCACATAGAATACAAAGTCCTAACAAAGTGATGTTTTAAGTATGATGCACAACTATTTGTGATGTGAATCCCAGACTGTTTTCTTTTTTGCACTGTGCATGTGTCCAACAAGAAAACAAAATATGGCTACAAACAATGCAGGAGGGTCTTTTCTGTATCTTAGAAACAGAAATAAAAATTCATGAAGTTTCACTTGCTGTGGAACAGACAGGCCACGTACTTTACGTTTTATAATATACCTCTGATGCTTTAGTCTGGTTTCAGGCTGAGCAGCAGGCAGTACTTTCTGAAAAGAATGACCACATTAAATGGCAGGAACAGGGCTGTAAAATACATGTTACATGTTTCAGTCTGCATGCTGGTAGTGACAGGTGCTCGGTGGTTGTCAGCATCCTTGTCAGCACAGAGACTCTTTGACATTAAAGTCACCAACCCAGGCCTGATGCTGTGCAGCTCTATTGGCAGTTCCATCAGGCTGCAGCTGATCAGTGAATGTCAGAGCCTCCGCTCTTCTTCTGGTGTGTCGCTGGCTCTCTTGTGTTTTCAGGCTGGCCTTGCCTGTTATTTGATCTTGCCATGCTTCTTCTGCAGCTTTCCTGTGGGAAATGAGCAGATAGGTCAGTGGTACGTGGGTATCTTCAGGGCAATGCAAACCCCCATCCAAAGTGGTTTGCATAAAGGTTTGTAATGATTACCTTTACTTTAAACCAGTCAATGGGTAGAGTACCCAGGGACTCATTAAGCAGCATTTGTGTCGTCCGTAACAGAATTTTGAGCTGTATTTCAGGAAATGCGGTGGCAGCCTTTAATGTCTAATTGACCTCTTTGTTTCACTTTCCATATTTCCTTCGGATGTGTTCCCCCATGGCAGCAAACAGCCCTGCTGAGTATTTTGAACTTCTGCTCGGAGCTGCAGCACCTCAGCCTGGGCAGCTGCGTCATGGTGAGTACTGGAGCCACTTGGGGTGTATGTGTGCACACTCTTGCTCGCTTTGGAACTCAGTCTGGGTTTGTTTCACAACAGTGTGTTAAATGCTAGGCTGATGTTAGACTCTGCTCTCGTAGAAAGTCCAGTATGAATACAGCTTGATCATATATGGGTTACTTACTAGTTTAATGGGCCTAAAGTGTAGCTTGGAGGCTTTTTCATAGTTCTTCGGGAATTTTTTGGCAGTTTTTGTACATTCTTTATAGGCATAATTGCTTTTTCTTTCCAAGGCTAATAATCCAAAGTTAATAATTATGACTTTTATTCAGCCCAGATCATCATTCCTAGCAGCTTAATTCTTGTGTCTGACCCTACAGTTACAGCCACAAGAGCAGTATCTTCTGGCTAAAGCCATTTGAGTTGTAGACTTGCTGAGCGCATTCACTGGTTTGAAGAAAGTAAATACAGGGCCAGCAGCAATTCCTGCAGGGTGCTCATTTGAGCTGTATTGCCTGTGCACGCCAGAGCTGTGTGTAGAGGCATTCTGGCTTGCTGCTATGCCTGGTGGTAGCAGATCACTCACTGGGGCAATTTAGTTGACCTTCCTCATAGTTCGAGAATCACAGAATGGTTTGGGTTGAAAGGGACCTTAAAGTTCAGCTGTTTCCAACCCTCCTACCATGGGCAGGGACACCTTCCACTAGACCAGGTTGCTCAAAGTCCAGTCCAGCCTGGCCTGGGACACTTCCAAGGATCCACTACTTCTCTGGGCAACCTGTTGCACTGCCTTACCACTCTCACAGTAAAGACTTTCTTTGTTACCTGAATGTACCCTCTTTCAGTTTAAAACCATTACCCCTTGTCCTATGAGTGCATCCCTTTGTAAAAAGTCCCTTTGGCTTGCCCCAAGTAATTAATAAGACTTCCATAAAGAGATGCAGCAACTGATCAACCTAAAATGAAAAATAAACATGTTCTGTGGTCTGCATGTGCTTATGGTTGCAGTACCTATGGTCATAAAAACAGCTGTAATCTTTCAAAGGAAAAACAACTGTGGAAAAAAATGCTTTTCAAATAAAATAAACTTTTTGCTGCATTTTGATCCTTAGTTTTAAGTGAATTTAAAAACACTTATGTCTGGAATTTACAGGAAATTAATTTTATTTTTGTCTTTTGTGAAAGTAGACCTCACTGTACTCTACAATGAACTATTTTCAGAGCTGTTTAGAAATTATATGCTTAGGACAAATCTGTAGGTGTTAGGAAGCAAATCTTGAAACATGTATGTACGTCTGGAAAGATGGCACACATGACAGAGCGTTTGCTTTCCTTGCAGATTGAAGATTATGACCTTATAGCAAGCATGATGGGAGCAAAATGCAAAAAGCTTCGCAGTCTGGATTTGTGGAGATGTAAAAACATAACTGAAAGTGGAATCGCGGAATTGGCTTCAGGCTGCCAGCTTTTGGAAGAACTTGATCTTGGTTGGTGCCCTACGTTACAGAGCAGCACAGGCTGCTTCACGAACCTTGCACGTAAACTCCCAAACTTGCAAAAACTCTTCCTTACGGCCAACAGGTCTGTGTGTGACACAGACATCGAGGAGCTTGCTGCTAACTGCACACATTTGCGGCAGCTGGATATATTGGGTAAGAAAATACAGCAATATTGGTATTTATTTTACGGTGTCTCAAAAGCCTTGCAGTTAAAAAGGAGACCTTAAGACAAAACTGTCTTCTAGACATATTTTTTAAATAATTATTTCTTAAAATTATGGTTTAGCATATGAAAAAAAGAGAAAGTTTTACTCACTGCAGTAGGTTTCTGACTCAGAATCCAGTGGATTTATACCAACTATGTACTTCGACTGCTTTGTATGAATTGCCTAAACTGAAATTTAAGTGCGAGATTTTTTCCAATAACTTTTAGTTTGATGACCGTTAGTTTCTTTTAATGAAATATTTCTCTTTGACTGTAAGAAGGCCCAATTTCTTATCCTTTTTCTGCTTTTGTTTATGATTTTCTTTCTGTGAAGTATGACAAAGTATATTTATAGTATGAGTCTGTGATCAGTAAACAGATTTTGCTTCTGTGCAGTACAGATACACTATGCAATACTGGCTTTCTTTGTCACTTTTATCAGGAAGGGAATTTGAGTTATTAAAGGTGAAAAGGTAATTACCAGCAAAACTTTACATGCACTTTCTAGAAAGGTGGAAAGGAAGTTATGAGGGGCAAAAAAAGCATAGAAAGTCTGAAATTTTTAGTCCTTTGCAGCTTCCATAGTTAAAAATATTTTTAGAAATCTAAAGTAAGTGTACTTGGGATTCTTGAGTAAGGACTTCGAGAAGTGTAGTTTTGCGGAATACTGAATTTATTCTTTATATGGTGGAATATAAGATTTTCTCTTTGTAATAATGTAGAACAGCAGGGTAGTTTGTGGCATCAATGTGAGAGAAATTTCTTTATGCTTTGACAGCCTATTTTCATAGGGTTAGTTGAAAAAAGAAGACTTAAATGAAAGGGGGAAAAAAACTAGCTGCACTGTATATTTTTAATATTTAATAATTTTAATGAAAGTATCACATTTAGGTTGAGAGAGACGCTACAAAAAACTGCAAACCCTCAACTCAAACAATGTTTCAAGCAAGTTGAAGGCTATCAGCATTTATCATTACAAAATATTTAACATGTGGCTTCAGATTGTCACTCCAGTACAGGTAGTACACTCTTCTATTGTGAAATAGGGGTTATTCATCTTTGATTGAGAAAATTGTCTCCTGACCAACATGGGAAAGGAGGATGAACAGGTTAAAAACTTAACTCCACCTGGTACAAATTGTGGAGACTTGATGTATATGTGCACAGGAGTTACTGTGTTTTGTGTATCCTTAAGAGAATCTGTTTTGTAGCTAGGTTTTCAAGGGCACATTTCCCTATTCAGATACAAAAAGCTTCTGAATGGCATAGTTAATTAAGTCTTTCATAAGCATATATGTGCTCCTGACTACCAACTTCCATGTATTTCTGTTCCAGTGGCATTTTGTCTGCCCATGAAGTGGTCATACCTCTTCACTGCATCAGGGACGGCTCCCCAATGAATAGTTTGGCTGTGCTAAGCCTATGGATAGTCTGCCAGTTTTGTTGTCTCTCTGCCAGCAGTGAAGGCTTGTTGCCACACTTCTTCAGCATTTGAATTCACATTTTAATTATTTAGCATCTTACTGATGTTTAGGATTTTTTTTTTTTTTGAAAAATAATATGTGAATGTGGAAAAGGAGTTTGTTCTGTTCCCCAGATACTTACCAATGCTCCTGAGTCAAGTAGATTTGTAATCAAACTTCCTCAGTGAGATTGCACGTTGGGTTCAGATAAATGCTCTGTAGGGGATATGCAGTTGAATTATCTGCAAGATGTTACCAAAAACCATAGTATTCACCTGCCAGACCTCACTTTCTTCCTATGGAGAAATACTTGGTAGAGTGAAAAGAAGGTTGTCTTCTGCTGTAAACGACTCAGTAGAAGGTGGTACGATATATGTGAAGGACTTACCCCACTTTTTTGGCAACAGCAAGAAAACTGTGTTAATTTCTTTGTCTGAATATAATAAGCACTACAGTCTGTGGTTAAAAGAAAGAGCTGTCAAGTAGAACGACATTGGGTCATCTGGAGGTAGAGTTGCCAGGTAACTCGTGTAAGTCCAGAAGTCTCTGTTGTCTGAACTGAAGAGCTAGTCTCTTACTGTGCAGGAGTACCAAGAAAGTCATAAATCTCTCTATGTATCTCTAACTTTCAGCATCTGATGTAGAGCCATGCTGTTACTTTAAGCTACATAAATGTGTAATATGTTTTTGTCCTTTAGAAGAAGTGTGACAACAGGTCTGAAGCTGTTAGAGGCCTGAGGTCAACACTCATCTTTGCAAGAGTAACCTTGAACAGTGGGTCTTCTCTGTGATGTGAATGAATGAAAGGTGTTCTCATTATATCCTTTGTCATCTCCCAGTACAGAAATGTCTGGCTTGTACATGCATTGTGGAGGGTGTAGAAGTATTGTGGCTAGGTTAGCACTGTGTGCTGTAAGGCAACTTCTTTTGCTTCAACAAAGCTGCATAAAAGCAGGATTTTTTTTTTTTGCTGTATATAAGCACTTACCTTAGAAGAGGTCAGAATGTCTTACTCTGCACTGTAGTCACCAGCACTGAATATACTATACTGGTGTCTCACTACAGTTGCTAGAACTTATAAACTGGCTAAGGAAAACCTCTTGTTTCAGTTATAGATTATTTATCATCACAATAGCTTCAGAGGTGGAGTAGTCTAAGCCTCTGAAAGAAATCTTGTTGAGCTGTAAGTGGTGCGAAATGCGTGTTATTGTAGCCTGGATGCTGTTTTAAGGTGATAGGTCCTGCAGCTTGCTACCCATCTGTCCTTTACCATATTTGTTTGGCAATTTCCTTGTTAGAGAGTCAGAGGACTCTGTAGAAGATGAAAATTGCTGTTTCTCAAGGGCTCCATAAACTTATGGCTCTTGTAAAGCATTGCTGGATTGTGGTGGTGCATCCCCTGCCCTCCCCCAGGGCTGCATTATGATTTGAGAGACCTTAAAACACTCATATTTCACAACGTGGATGTGTGGCTATGTTTGTGCTGTGTAAAACATACATCAGAAAGTAAACTGTTTAAAAAAACAGGTCATGGGTTGGGTCTGTATCTGCTGTATTACAAGTTTGGAAGAGGAAGCGTGATGTAAATTGTCACTGAGAACTTGAGGATGTGCTTCTCTTGAAGTTTTAGTTCTGAGCTTTCCTTTACCTGTTGCTTTACTGAGCTGCCTGCTTACACGGATCATTTCCCTGGTGGCCCACACCTTTTCCACTGACTGACATGTTGTGTTTCCATCCTGTGGTAGGTTGATCCAGCTGTGATCATCTGGCAGTTTTGTAGTAATGCATTACATCAGCCAGTGCTGTCAAAAGTTGAATGGACACATCCAGACCTGTAGTTAAAAACTAGTCTTCAAACTGTGATTTAGCGTTGAGAATGTGACGAATCAACCTGAATTGACAGTGCCAAAAGCTTTTCTTGCACATCATACCAGCTGCTTTGTTCTGTTGCTGTGGGGGTTCCCAGCTTGCTGTCAAGGGTGAAGAGTAAGTCATAGTAATCTTGCTCCCCAAAAGTTCTGCTTCTGTCCTGCACCAAAAAGGTAATGAAAAATAGACACCCTTGTTACCGCAAAAATTCATGTATTCCTATCTACATACCAACACCTCCCACACCTTCCTGAGCAACAGAAAACCCAACTGCCCCCTTGCCAGCTGTCAAAGTTTTCAGCTTTATCTTGAGAACATCAACACATAGTTAGTCAATTCAAACATGAAAATGTGTAGCATGTTAAAATTTTGAATTTGAGTTGCGTGGAATAGATTGGAAAAAATGTAAAGAATAAAAAGCTAGTCTGGCTGGTCTGGGGAAGGAAAGAAGAAAAGTAAGAAGGTTTGAGGGAAGAGTGCTAGTTATTTTCAAGGTCTCTAGTCTTAAATATTATTTGGTGTGTAGTAGTATCCCTTGTCCTAGAAATGGGGGCTCTTGCAGTTTTTGTAGAGCACAGCTCTCCTGAACAGCTCTAGCATTTGAAGACTTGGATATATGATAGATATAAATTAAATCATTTAGAAGTGCCTTTTACAAAGGTGATGTCAGGGAATTTTTTCAGAGAATTAACTAAACAGCAGAAGTAAATAGCAGAATTTAATACAATGGTTATGTTTGTATTCTGAGAAATGGCTGATTAGTCCAGGCAGGAGAAGTTGCAGTAAATAACAAAGGTTCAAAAGCCTCCAAACTCTAGAAGGAATGCATTATATAGGCAACTAGCAGGATATACGTTGTCAATCTGTCAAAAGCAAGGGAAAATATGCTATATTAAAATTCTAAAATGCTTTTGAATGGACTTTTAAGATACATGCATCACTAATTGTACATTGTATAAAAGAAAGTAAGATTACAGATGATGTTTGTTTATCCTGAGGTGTGAATAACCAAACCTCAACTGGATTGCTTTTAGATAAAGGTATTTCCTGACATAAAATTGTAAGTCTGAGAAGGAAAAAAAAAAAAAACCCAAACAGGTACAATTTAGGATGACCTACTTAGTTGCAAATCTATCAAAAATCTTAGTCTTAGATGAAACGGTAGGAGAACTGTCGAAGTTCAGGTAGGAAGGAATGAAGAACATCCTACACAAAAAAATCTATGGCTAGGCATCTAGATCTAGCATTTTTGTAGAAACACACGTTTGGATCTTGAAGCATAAAAGCTGTGATGCATAAATGAGACTGGTTTTAGATGAAGGTGCTGATGTAGTAGCAATTTTAAGGCTTGGTGGAAAAAAAGAGAAGTAGCATAATGTGTTGTTCCTAGAGTTGCGTTTGGAATGGTAGAGCAGGTCCTTATGGTAGAACAGTGATACTATGGTAAAGTTTATGGTCAAATGGAGTGAATAAATATTACAGAATTTCTGGGTAAAGCCATAGGGGCTGTTTCATCAACCACCAGGCAGTTGTGATGACAGCGATCATATGATAAGGGAGTTAAAAATCACAATGATAATGACAAGCTTTCTCTGTGTAGATGAGGTAAAATTTGTGGCACGATAGCAAAGACCGTCTTTGGGTGATGTTCAGTAATGTCTCAAAGCAACCAATCAGAGCCTGACACAGAATAATTGAAGACCACATTTACATACTCCCTTGCTTTTGCAGAAGAGTACTGGAGATTACTGCAACCATTTGATGTCTTTCTGGAAATTAATCCTGTTCAGAGGAAATAGGAAGATGAGCTCTAGAAAGTGAAACCAAATCTGAGTTAAGGCAGTATAAAATATTAAGGAACCATTGGCTAAAGGTGAATGTTAAAACTGTATTTCAGCTATGGTAGAAGTTTACAGGGATGGATGTGAAGGATTGCTTAGATACAAGGCTGTTGCAGGAGAACTGTTGTCTGTCCATTAGTGTTCATGGCAGAGGGCTGATCAAGAAAGCTGCTACATCAGTGCCATTCTTTCCAAGAGATTAGCCTGGAGAGCTGCCTTAAATTGGAATGCCAATATAGAAAGCTTTTGAACAAATCAATACATTGAACGATAATAAATTGTTAGGACTAAATGGTATTTATGCAGGGGTTCTAAATGAGCTCAAATGCAGGGCAGTGGAAATCTTCTTTCTGGTCTGTGATCTGTCACTTAAATCAGCCTCAGCAATAGAGTAATGCAGGGTTACAAATATGGCCCAACTTTCTGTAAAGGGTGCAGTTTAGGAGCTACAAAACAGTGGGGGATTGTGTTTTGCTCTGTGTAAAGCAGTTGCAACCATAAGAAAGTCAGTCGGTGGACAAGAGAAGGCTATTACCATATTTTGAAGCAGAGCTGCATCCCTGCAAGGATAGTATAGTTCTACCTCTCCAGTCTTTCAGAATTCCTTGGAGTTCTTGGTGAACCTGAGCAGTGCTCCAATCCATAGAGGATTGAATTTTCAAAAGCTTTAGTCAAGGTTGTGCTGCTTCTGTAATTTAGCTGTCTTCTGGATTATGAGTGTTTCAGAGACAGCAGAGGACAGGGATGTATCATCTCTTTTCACAGTGAAGTTACATCACTACTGTGGTCACCAAGGGTCTGCACTGATCTGCTTATGAGTAAACCAGGTAAAGGGGTAAATAATACCAGAGGGCAAAACACAGGTATTCAGGGTAGAAAAATCTTAAACCAAAGAACTTAACACTGAAAAATAACAGAATGATCTTGTGATTCTTATTAAACAGGTGATAAAACAGGAGAAAAAAACCATTCAATCAAGTGCAAAGTGGTTGCATGAGGCAAAATAACATTAACTAGGCAAATGGGGGACGGGGTTTATATTAACTACTGTTTTGTAGGAAACACATCCTGTGGATAACTTTTAGAAAACATCAGCTCGTTGCTGATGTCCCATTCTAATGGGCATAGAGAAGATTAGAGTTTCTTAGGCAAGAAATGGAGAAAACACACTAAGACCTTATTATAAAATTGGTGGCTTTGCACTCAGTGCACTGTATAGTTCTGGTCATCCAGTTTCAAAAGCACTGAATTAGGGCAGAAGCAACACAACAGGAGTCATTTTGAGATGCAAGAGAGTCTGGAAAACAGACAACCTTGAGAGAACAGATGTCCATGGGATTATGAATGATATAGAAGTAGCAAACTGGAATGATCTCTCACTGCTTCTTTCATTGCCCCTTAGTTTTTTGCTTGTTTGTTTAACATTATATAGTTAAACTGTGAAAGTCGTGAAGGGGCTGTAAGTATGAAGAAATTCAGAACAGTAGTAGAATTCATGAAAGATAGCTTTAGAAAACCCTAAAATGATAATTTTGGGCAATTGAGAAGATTAACCAATGAAAAGCTGCTTTAAAAAAATCTTCTTTTGCTTTTCTTTTTTCGGTTTGTTTTTTTTTGGGTTTTTTTTTGTGTTTTTTTTTTTTTTTTTTTTTTTTTTGTTTTTTTTTGTTTGTTTTTGTTTTTGTTTTTGTTTTTTGTTTTTGTTTTTTTTGTTTGTTTGTTTGTTTTGTTTTTTTTTTTTTTGCATGGGAGTGGTGCAGGAGGGGAACATTATTGGCCCTGACCATAGAAAAGATCCTGGACTAGATGGCTTTTTGGGGTGCAGTTAGCTCAAGATAGATCTGTGTAAGCTGAAGTGTCTGCCAGCAGGTTTCAGCAGTAGTGCTGGTTATATTAACTCTTTTTAGCAGGAGAGCTTGATGGACAGTTTAGCCCACTGTAGACATCCAGACTCAGTTCACTTGCCTAGAGTAACTTGCCTGGCTTCCAGCCATTCCTATAAAGTATGAATCTTCTCTTCTGGGTCCAGTGTACTGTCTGCCAGCTCTGTGGGGAGTCCTGTAAGGTGCAAGGAACCCCAAGGAGCGCAGGGTTCTTTCTACTGGATACTGACTCACACCCCGGTGCCCAGTCTGCTGCATCTCGTGCTAAGCACCATGGACTGTACTGGCTGGATTTCCATCAGCTATAATGAGTGTGGATACATGCTTATCAACATCCATTTATTTGGTTTCTGACTGAATCCCATGCTTGATCTGACCCTGGGTGACACTTAGGATTTATTCACTGTGGTCTGCTTTTTAGCAAGATTAAATAGTGTGTTTTTTCTTAGTGTACATATAGTTATGATCAGTAGTCTCTTGAACAGTTGCCTCTGCGTGTGTGTAATAGCCACCCTCACTCCAGAGCCCTGGGAGCCTTGCTGATGTGTTTGGAATTGGAATTAGCCCCCAGTAGCTCATCTGCTGTGCTGGTCAGTGCAGGCAAGAGGAGAGTCATGAGAACATGAGTGTAGCATTCCGTGTTGCTTGCTGCTAAAGCCCAGCATCTGATCACTGGGAGGTTTTGTGGCTTTGGGTACCTGGCTTCAGTAGTTAAAGATTCCCCTTGAAATTGTAAAGTTGCCCCCCAATAGAAAATGATGGTTACTTAAGCAGTTAAGAAAATGCAATAGGCTTTTTAAAGGTAAAAGTTCTGCACAGTCTCCGAGAAGCTCTTAATTTGAAAACTAATTGAAATAATCTAGATAAAAGTTGTGTTATAGTAGCATTTTTTTCATGGCACAGTACTAACAGCTTTAAAACACTATTCTTGGTAACTTTACAATTCTGTTTTGTTTTTGAACAGGGACAAGGATGGTGAGCCCCTCATCTTTAAGAAAATTGCTGGAATCTTGTAAAGATCTTTCTTTACTCGACGTGTCCTTCTGTTCACAGATCGATAATAGAGTTGTGCTAGAACTGAATGCCAGCTTTCCTAATGTGTTCATAAAAAAGAGTTTCACCCAGTGACTCCCTACATATGCTACTGTGGAACTCATTTGACAGAGTTGTTTCCTGTAAATTTGTGTTGACATTTTTAAAGAAGAATATAAGTCTGCTGTGAAATAGTAGAAACTATTAGTTACCTATACAAATGGGTAAAATACATTAATATGTATTATGTTTCTTAAAGAGTTGATATTGTACCTAAGAATTATTTTGCTCTGTGTTAATTGGTAACACTGCATGTTTTTAAATACCAGCCATATGTTTGGCTTTAATGAAAAGCAAATGAATGTCTTCTTAAATGTCCCTTCATAGGGTATTACACACAGTAAACCATGTTAATATCCAGGTGAAAGCAAATGTTCAATATTGAGCAGTAAGGAAAATATGGGTGCTTCCTTTTTATGTATTTGTGTGTGTATATATAAATTTATACAGATGTATTTGTATATACATACACAGATATTGTAGCATTCTAGTTTGGCCTGCAGCATAAGATGCTATGATCTGGCCTATAATTAGTTATTTAAAAACCTGTTTAAGTTTGTATAAGAACAGGTCAAAAAGGCACTTTGTCCTCTTCAGTTGTTTGGCAGTGATCTGTATCTGATACAATTTTTCTCCCGTCCTCCACCTGAAATAAATGTAGTGATGTTTTACAGTCCAGCCTAAGCAACAGAGCAGATAAATGCAAGAACCTGAACCACCTGAACTTAGAGCAGAAGCAAAAGAGAAAATTGCCATCTGCTTCTTGGGATTGAGATACAAAGTTTGAGCCAGGTACCTAATGTTGTAGCTGGTAGTGTGTAGAAAACTCCAGTGCAGTTTTCTTTTTCAGATTTCTGACGTGGTCAAGATTTGATTTGTGATACATCTGATTATTGTGCAGAGTACCACGAAAAGTAGAACTTAGGGTAATGCATTAGCAACCGTCCCTTACACTGGCATCAAATTTACTATCAAGTGTGAAAACAAGCATCTTTTTTCAGTAAAACAGCAATGAAAATATAATGCGTTTGAAATAGGCAGTGTTGATCTGGTGATTTTTTAATCGCCAAACCTTAGTATTGAATTTGTTTTGTTTGAGGTTTTCTGTTTTGTTTTGTTTTTTGAAGAGATGGTAGCTCAAAGTACTATTGCACTCTCTCTTTAGCACTGCTTAGCCTCTGGAGAAGGAAAACTGTGTTGATGGACAATTTCTGGAGGTTTCTTCTTTTTGCACTCTCTTGGATGAAGTTTTTCTTTTTTTTTTTCTTTGAATACCACCACTAGAATATGTCACTATGTACAGCTTGAGTTTAAAATTTTACGTTTTTAGCCATTATTGATGAATATGGACCATGAAATATAGCCTGTCATTTGATCTTGGCTCTATTATCCTTGTATTGATGGCACTTATTACCTATTGGACTAAGAAGAAAAATACTTTGTCTGGCAGAAGTACATTACTGTACCGAAGATCAGTGGCAAAGAACACTTCATTCATGCAGTAAATAACCAAACTGCTACTAGAGGACTGCTACGAATCATTAAAAATCTGACAATCTCTCTGACTCCTGAATGACTGCTTTGAACTCTTTGTGTTGGTGCCAGTGGTGTTTATAAACCGTGTCATGAAACAGCTACAGAACATTTATCTGATTTTATTGAAAGACCTATTTCTTCAGATTTTTAAATTTTGCTGAATCTTTGGGGAATTCCAGATCCAAAGAAGGACATGCACAGTTGGCTTTTTGATTTTTTCCTCCCCACAGATGGCACTATGGGATTTCCAACTAGATTATACCATTCCATTTTTTTTCCTTTAGAAATCTGGGCATTGTCAGAGAACTTCAGATTGCTTTACTTTTCTTCCGCACTGAAAGATGTCAACTTTGGTGTGACTCTGTGTGAGACCTCATTTCTTTCAATTATGTTTGGGTTCATTTATTGTTCTTGGAACTTTTAAACGTTTTTTAATCTATAGGTAATATTTTTCATTGGAATTGAGTATTAAATGTTATTATTCTAGTTATAGGAGAACACAGGTTTAGATAATGGGAGTTTACAAAGAACAGAAATGTTTTTGTTGTAAAATTTCTCTTCTCAGGGGTGCATCTGTGTTTATCTCCTTTTTTTCTGAAGAGATCCTTTTTGTTTGTTTTTCACTGTAAATAGAATGGGGTTTGGATGAAGTGATAGCCATTGTGCCTTCAAACTGGTTAACTTGGTAGATAATACAGTTTAAATTCTATGGCATCAGTGAATCAAATAAGTGGTTTTGTAATCATGTAAAGAATTTAATTCTCTGTTGCTTTTTAGGTAGCGTAAAGGAGGTTTAAATTGACATTTTATTCATACTGAAGGATTTTCTGGTTTTCATGTTGCATTGTTTCTTTCAGGAATTCTCTGTTGTCAGTTGAAAGATAAATTGAAATCAACTTTATATTTGGACTGTTTAAAACTTAGTTTTTGCCAACATATAATTAATTCAAACAGCAGAGAAATGATTGGGAGCGACTTCCATCTGTAGTTCTAGACTTCAACCTTCAATCAGAGAGTAGGAAGCTCTTTTAGCTATGGCCTTATAAGTCCCAAGAAGTCTTCCAGCAACGAGGAGATAGACCAGACTTGAAATTTGTGGTACTTACAGGATAAAGAAAACAACATACTTTTAAGACCTTCCTTATATGTCACAAAGAAGCAAGAACAGATCACTGTCTTTTTAGTTTCACTATTTTATACTTAAGTGCGTCTATCTATTTATACATATGTATGCATAAATTATATATATACACTCATATGTTTGTGTGTATATATGAATTTTTTGGATGTGTGTACATACTTAAACATATATGTATAAATCTCAAAGTTTGTCATTCAGGAATTACTTTTGTGAAGTGTAATGGCAAAAAAATGTTTCATAGCAATTCTACTCTCAGCTGTTGTTTTACTGTACCTGGAGACTGAATTCCTCTCCACCCATGCAGCAGAAAAAGCCTGGGCAAGAGATGTGCTGGATTTCTTATGTTGCTTTGCCAAAGTGCCTTTTGGTTTGTCTACACATGAAAGGTATTTACAGGGTATGAAGAGTGTGAATGCAAAGTCCGGTAACTACTGTGGACTGTCTCCTTGTGAAGCAGTCATATAGCAGGAAATTTATAATCTAGTTTCATTTAATCCAAAATGAATTATGGCAATTCCTCCATTGGAGGAATTTAATTATTCTTGAATTGTATTGTCATCTCCATCACTAGACTGTCCCTCAGTCACGTTATATAAATTTTGCTTCTAAGGATATTCCTTTTGTTTAATCTTGTCCTTTGATCTCGTCTGTCTTTCTGAAGCTTTGTAAAAGATGTGCTTTGGCAACAAATGTTAAAAAACCATGGCTAACATGTCCAAAAAAAGAGGTTTGCTCTGAACTGCCCCTGCCCTTACACTAGAAGGGGGCTTCCATACCATTTAGGAAGTTGATGTGGGATGGCATGTAGGTAAATGCGTCATTCCTTTGGTAATTTTAAAAACCAGTATGATACCTTTATTGTTTAAAGCCTCTTCAAGTGTACTTACTTGTATTCATAATTCTGAGCTGTCTGGCTACATAGCTCTATTGAAATGGATGGGATTTCTGCTCTTTAAATTATACACCTGATTAAGTACAGTAATGAGCACGACTTATATAGAACAGTTTGGACCTTATAATCCCCATGTACTTGGAGGTCCAAATTGCAGACCAAAAAACCCCTAACCAACCAACTAAGAAAACCCACTAAAAAACTGGCATTTTCTGTCTGGTTCTTTCATTAGAGCTCTTACAGTAACTTTTCCAGATACATAATGTCCCGTAATCATGGTACACGGTGAGTAGAATTCATCTCTCTGAAAGTTAGGCAACTCCTTCAAGGGAGGAATCTGGGCACCCCTAGAGAGTTATTAATCACCTCCTAAGATAGATATTTAAGGAAAGTAGAATGAATCATGTTCTGGAGAGCCTCTCTGGAGACTGTGGAAGCTGTGATTTAGCTCAGGTTAGCTACTAAACTGAGATTAATTCTATCCAGTGCTGTACTACCTGTCTTGAAAAACAAGACTGAAACAACATCCATCCCCAAACTTTAAAACCTTTCAAATTCCATCCAGAAAGAAGCAAATTAAAGAAATTCTGACAACTTGAGAAGTTTCTAAATGCCAGAATCTTCTTCTGCCCCTTGCCAATGCCTGTGGTACATGTTTTGGCTTTTTTTTGGTCGGGTTTTGTTTCTTTTTTTTTTTAAGAAATGCATCCCCTTTCCTACTTTTGAAATTTCATGTATCTAACTGTCTATATGTATAGTTCTGTAAATGCATGAAAGTAACAGGCAAATGTAATTGATATATTGCCACTATTTTGGTAATCTTTCATATTGCTATAATTAAGACTGAGGAGTTTAATTGCTCTACTGTCATCAGAAATGTTACCTACTGTGCATTTGCAAAAATTGTGTGTAGAGTCCTGCTTCTTACTGTGTGTACTTATTGCGTCTTATGGGATATATTTCCCATTTATATCTGCAGGACTATTAAATTTTTAAAAACTAGATAAAATGTAGCATTTTATTATGAGAACTATGGGAGCGACTTTATATATATTGATTTATATGTTCATTATTCATCTTTCACAATGGTTCCATAAGTTGTAGCTTTGAAATTACTTAAAGAATCCTGGTTTAGTGCATCTGAATTTGCTGTATTAGACATGAAGGCGTTTGTCCTTCACTGAGGTGATGATTTCTGTGATTTTTAGATTTCTGACTTGAAATGAAATACTAGAAGGTGCTCTTTATTAAATATTACCAGGCGTGGGACAAATTGTGGTAACTGACATTAGGAAGGGCTGAGAAGTGAGTCTTGTGTGTTACAGATCCTCATGAGCTTCAAAGAAGGGCAGCAGCAGTAGGTGTCTCTTTTTAAGAAGATTCAACTTCCGTACTAGCAGGCAGTGGTGAGATTATATAGCTATGGTTTCTCCCTGTCTTGTTTTCATTTAAGAATGATAAATGGCACAGTTGGGAGAGATGTCCTAAATTGAAAGGAATCCATTGTGAGGAATTAAGTTTTTCTCTGGCATGTTTTGTTCACCTTTTCTAAAAATAAACAAATAAAAATACCCTCAACTATTTGAAAACTCATTTTCATTGGTTACTGAAGTGATGCAAATGTCAAGAAAGTTGAGAAACGAAAGAAAGGTTTATCTGGAAACTAGTGGAAGAGTGGCCAGAGCTATTTATAGATGTGAGGAAAGTAAGTGCCTTGCTCCAGATCAGCTGTTATCTTTCCCAGAAACGTAGCTTCCCACATAGTATCACATGCTCATACTTTTAAGTCAAGATCTAGCATTTCGAGGCTCTTATATTGACCTTTCGTGTACATATTTGTGCAGTAATTCATGATGTCTCTTCATTTTTATGAACTACATAAAAATATTTTTTCTTTGCCTACCACTGCCCAGCCACATTTTTTGTTAGAATCTGAGATTATTTTTTGCGTGTACACCCAGGTGCTTAATTGCTTAGGTTTTTTGCTATTGGTCCTTTTCTAATGACAAATAAACTGCAGTTTGGATGTAAAAATGTTAAAAGTGAAGGCTCTAGAGAAGAGAAGGCCCAGGGGAAATCTGATGAATATGTGGGAATACCTGATGGAGGGCAGGGAATGAAGAAGAGACAGCCAGATTCTTCTCAGTGATGCCCGTGCACAGGACAAGAGGCATTGGGCACAAACTGAAATACAGAAGTCTCTAACTTAACACAAGATGACACATTTTATGCTAAGGGTAACCAGGCCTTGGCACAGGTTGCCCACTGAGGCTGTGGAGTCTCCATCTTTGGATATACTCATCATCCTGGCAACTGACTCTAGGTGGCCCTGCTTGAGCAGTTGGAGGCTGGACTAGTTGACCTCCAGAGGTCCCTTTCCAACCTCATCCATTCTGTCATTCTGTGATTCGAGACATGCCCTGCAGTTGTTTTGTTTGCTTCAGTGTACTGATTCCTGAAGAAGGCAGAGAGAAGGGGGAAAAGGAAGAATAGATATCTTAAGGAACTTGTGATGTTGAGAACAGCGACAAGAATCTTATTAATTTCCTTTTTTGTTATTTTAAGACAAGTAACATTTTTCACTGTTTAAGGAAAATCTAAATGTGACTTACTGAAGTAAAATTTTGCTATTGTTTTCAACATGCAGTTCTGTAACATACAAAACACACAATTAGTTTACAGGAGTGTGATCACTCCAAAGTCTGAAAGCTACACCAAGGACTAAGACAAATAACCCTATTCTCGGGTACTGACAATAGTTTCTGTTTAGAAACTGAGTTTATGTAATACATTAGTAACAGTTTAGTCTGAATATCTTTAGTATTTGTTTATATGTATTTGTTTATATATATTACCATGGTGTAGGTGCCAGTTATTCCTGCTTACTCTATTGCAAACTGAGTACAGCAGTTAACTGTTCATAGTGTTAAACATTAACGTTTAAATTCAGGTGAAAAAGAGGATCAAGTTTATGAAACACTGAGCTGTCTGAGTCGTTTTAGGGAGATACTGGGTATAACTCTGGTGAATTTCCATCTTTTGTGTATTTATTTATTATTTTACCATTGCCAAGAGCTGCTGGGTAGTACAGCCCTCTGCTCACCATCAGAGATGGGTTCCTTCTGTCATGCCTTGGTTGCTCTAGATTTATTTTCTTCACAGCAGTGCCACAGATAAACTGTTCTGAAAGTAATAGAGGTGAATTAAAAATACCTGGTTTGGTTGTGATTTGGAAACTAATGGCTAGTCTATACTTAAAGTTGTTTTGGAAAAGTTACTGAAAGTGAATTAAGACAACCATGAATTGATGTGTTCACAGGGGGACCTTGCACCTTCTGATTTAACTTTTGCCTACAATTACAGCTGCCCCTGAGCCATCTTAGTGAAATCTGTGTGATGGTGATCATTCTGAATCTACCTAGTGAGCATAAAGCCACTGCAGTTCTTTAGCATCTTGTTGTGTTTTGCATTCATGTCCTTACCAGGCAGATAATGGAGTTGGGGGTTGTGGAGGTTGACCTGATGTTTGTAAGTGAGGTGCTTCAGTTGCCTGGGGAAATTCCCTGCTCACATTTATTTCTGTGTGTGAATGAGAAGGAATGGTGTCTCCAGACCTTCAAATTTAAATACCTAAACCCAGCACCTGTGCTAATTTAAAAATAGTAGGTCTCTCCCTGCTCCCCATCAATTAACCAGCAACAAAATACTTGCATTGTATTTATGATTTAATAGTATGCTCCATTTTCTGCCACAATAGGAGTTTGAGTAATGTAACAGGAAACTCCTACTGTGTTACCTTTTAAAGAGACTAATTACTATAAAAGGTGAAAGAGCAGCAATAGAGGGAATAGTTCTGGACACTGTTTGTAAATAACTGTGCTGTGCATGCTATGCCAGTAAGCACCAGAAACAAATTATGCCTTTTTGTAATAAGAAGTTGAGAAGGACAAAAGGGATAATTGCCTCTAAGCACATTTTCTGTAGCTGGAGGATATTTATATAATTGAATTTTAAATATCCAGAGTAGGTTCTAAAGTTAGGAAACTGATCTCCTGATCTGAATTACCCTATAGAAGAACCTATCTACCCAGTGACAAGACCCTAGGAGACTAATTTTAAACTGAGGTCTTGAATTGACCTCTGGAAAACCAGGGGTCCATGTAGGCCATATAAAATTTCTGTTGGAAGCCAGTATGAGTGGATTCAGAGTAAGAGGTTGCTTACCCTTCAGTGCTCCCAATTAGTCCCCTAGCTTCACTTACTTCCACTAAAGGCCACAACTTTCTTTGCTCTAGTTGTTGAACTGTATCTGATTGCTCCCTACAAAATATCTTGGCTACAACTAGAAAACCTTTTTTTTTTTTTTCTAGTAGTTGGTTTTTTTTTCCCCCTCCCAATTTGGGTAATTAAAGCCAGCCGAAGGAAGGGGACATTTATCTTCAATTAAAAAGATAACAAGCAACAGGTGGGAGTATGTTGGTTATGCAAATGTTTTAATTCAAATTAGCATAAAGGAGGATAGCCACTCTTCATTGTGATCCAAAGCTTCTTAACTTTTACGTAGTTCATCTCAGTACTGTGCCACAAAAAATGTCCAAAGCGAGGTTGTTTATTTGCACCTCATAATAGTGGTTCAAGCCCTGAAGTATAAAATGCTACTGTGAATATATGAGAACATGCAGGTCCTAACTGACTTCAGCAAATTCCCTAACAAAAATCCTTTGAGAAGCAGGTGTTGAGAGGTTTAGATTAGAAAGGCTAATAAGAGCATATTTAAAGTATGGTGAAGGCAGTGGTTAGCAAAACCAAGCGGGAGGTTTGTAAACCCAAAGGTGTCTGTGCGTATGCAGACGAAGCTCAGGTATGGATACCTGGCTCCTCCTCATCTGAATACCTTTGACTCCTGTTTCTGTGGTATAAGGTAGGGGTTTGCTTGAACACATGCATACACAAAGCAGAGATGTTAGCCCTATATTTATGAAGGATTTAAATTATTACGGAGAAATTATCTAATGCCTTATATTGCTAACTCAAAGATACTTTCTTTTTATCTTGAAAAAGTTAACCAATTATTTCAATTTAGTAAATTAAGCCTGTTTTTCTTTTGACATGTTGGATCATTTAAAATGTTGTAATACTGTATTCTGCAGTTTTATTCCATTACTGCCTGTATAAAGAAGTTGAAATTAATGTCAGTGTCTGCTAATTCAGCAATGACAGAAATGTGTTAAAATATATTCAACCTATAATAGTTATCTTGCTTTGCACTTAATTTGTTTCCCTTTGACAGTATTGCAAAATGCCAAATGTACATAAAATAATGAATAAATAAAAATAAATTATTTGTCTAAATCCACTGACCTTTTGTGCATTCATTTAAAAAACCCCAACAAAATAAAATACAATATGATGCATTCAGAGGAACAGTTTGTCATATTTTTATCTCTGTTCATTTTGAAATAAGCCACACTGGATGTTTTTCAATACAAATTCGTGAGCTAGCTTTTTAAAATTTTTATTATTAGAAAAGTTTATTATTGTTTAATATATAGCTTACTATAGCCCTATGAAAGCACATTACACAAGGTACATTACAAAAAATAGATGTTTTGCTGGCTGAAACTGTTTGTGGTCTAGGTACAGAGCAAGAGACAACAGATGTATATAGACAGATGGGATATAAAGCAGAATATGGAGATTACAATGTACCAAGAGAGACCTCCAAGAAAAATATAATGGTTGAGTTTCTTTTAAGAATAATTTCCTACTCTAGCACACACATTTTATTATCATAAGGTATTTCTTAAACCCTTTCATTAGAGTGGTATAGTTGCTTTTAAATGTTGTGGAACTTAAATAATACAATAAACTTGGAATTTAGCAAAGATGTTAAAGAGTTCTGCAGCTTTGAAAACGGGAACCAGAAGAGGACGGGTGATCAATTGGACTCCACTTCTCAAGAACAACCAAAGTATTGAATTGAAAATGAGCAATTGCTTTGCTAGACTTTGTCCTCCTTTTTTTTTTTTTTTTCTGAATTATCTGAAGGGTTTTTGTTGGTTCCAAAATTGATATTGGTTTAATCAGTGCCTATTTTCTTCTGGACAAGTTTTATAAATGTTCGATTTGGCTGATACTGTTAATTGTTCAAGACAATTAGCTAAAATAAATATAGACCTTTGAGTTGTTTTCTTACATCTCTGAAGAAACTTTTAATAAGACTTTTAATCTCCAGCACCTCCTGAAGCATTCAGCTTTTGTAGCACAGCTTTGCCTCAGGCCAGTATCATTCCAAACATGCTAAAACTGTCTTCTAGCACCAACTTACAGCTGCTGATGCTTCCGATTATCCAGAAGTGTAAGAGATGAGACTGGACCTGACTTCTGTGCATCTTGGACAAAATGTAGCTGACTTTTGAAACACGCTAAGTACAGTTTTTAGACATCATTCTGACAGCCCTTGTGTCTGACCCAATACCTGTTTCACAGTGTGGAGAATTCACACAAAAATCTGAAACACCATCAGGTGTCTTTCTCTGTGTGGCACTTCTGATAATGCAAACAGTTCGAAAACACACGGATAAAACTAGATTTCAAATTATTTCTGTATTTCCAGACTTTAATGCCTGAGAGCCTGTACTACACTTTATTACATTATTATTTGGCAGGCATGCATTTTTTGGGCAAGTGAAAGCAGTTACGTATTCTCCATACTCGGATACTTGTACTTGTTATATGTCCAGACGGATGGGGGAAAGCTTAGTGTTGTGAAAACATTCAAAAATGCAAACTCTCCTCTGTTACTTTACAATGGCATTGGCAGTCTTGATTGAAATTTAAACAGAATGCTGTAGATGTGATACCATGCATGCTGCAATAGTTTATTCACTGGTAAAATCAAATGTCATTATATACAATGTAGGCATTTATTATTACAAACAGATTTTAACATAATGCTTTCCCTCACAGTTTTGCAGAGCTAGAAATAAAAAATGCCCTGACGCAGTGACCAGGCAGTCTTGAACTGCCAAATATCTTCGGGAGTTAAAATAAGTGCAGCAGCATTTTGTAACAAGGTCATGTCCATCCCTCTGAATGCAAATGCACAAACAATTTAAGTTCAAACTTCAGGCCAATAGGTTTCAAAGTGCAGTTAGAGCCCAGTGATACAGTCTGCATAGTTTCTTTGTGAAAAGGATAAATCATGCTTAGATTTTAGCCTTGTTAACTGGCTACAAACTCAGGGCTCAATCACAGGTGAAATATTTTTTAAAAAATAAGAAAATAGACATTAAATAGTCTAAGAACTGCACTGAATGTGACAGATGTGATTGTCAGTCCACGTTATCTTTTCTAGTACCAGTATCCAATAATAAATGTTAACAGTTTGGGCAGCTGTTAGTTTAGCATTTGGGATGAGCAGTGTGTCCTTATCCCAGACTCTCTGGTCACTGCTGAATTTGACCTTAACTAGAAGGTGTTTGGCACCTTTAAATGAAGGGGCTTCCTGCTGCCTATAACAGCCTATGGCTGTTCAGGCTGTGTGTTTAGGACTAGAAGGAGTCTACTGCATCTAACCTTATTTGACATGGTAAATGTTAGGTCCAAGTCTGGCAGTAGGGCAGTGCTAGGATGTGGGAAGTCTTGGATTCAGGCCAAGGGGAATTAACTGAAGGTGTAACTGAGGCGTAGCTGCCAGGTTATGTGTTGATTCTCAGGGTGAGCCCTCTTCTGCCCTTTCGCTGGAGATGTAGTGGCAGGAATGCAGGAGTCAAGGTGCTGGGCCAGGCAGGGAAGAGGGAGATTGATTTCAGCTTTGTGGGTAGTGTGTGTGGCAGCGAAGGGAAGTGAAATCTGACCTACCTCTATAGATATAAAACCTAAAGTGGCCTTGCTGCTGCTGTTGGTGGGCCTGTATTTCTGAATGGTCAGCTGGAAAGGGGTCAGCACTGAAGCCAAAGGGACCAGAGGCCGCTCTGCAGGTCCTCTTGAAACATCCACCTCCTTTGGTTGGCTACACAAGACATGTGGACAGGCTAGGTTGTCCGTCCTCTTTCTTGCACAATTCAAAGAGCCAGACATGCATGATTTTGATGAGGGTCTGCTTTTAAGTTAAAGGCCTTGATTCTTCCTAAAATTAAAAACTTCTAGTTTGGGATATGAATTGTACACTGAGGGTGTATGCAAACTTAGTATGCAAAAGGCCAATATTCTCCAGCTCCTTAGACCTATTAGCAAATAAATCAATCCTAACCTATCTGCTGGTTTAGGAAAGGTGCCTGGAACAAAGCCAGCTTTTCCATTTAGAGGCAGAACTTTTGTCATGGCTTTCTGCCTACTGAAAACAAAACTGTCGCCGCAGGTCGGATGGACACAGGCTTCGTCTGTAGCTAAAGGTGTAGCCACTGCTTACCTTTCCAGTTCCAGCCATAGCATAGCATCTCGTTTCTGTTATCTGAACAGGTCCAGCATTGATGTTCAGCTGGAAAACAGGTTGTTTTCTCTCATGTCTGCTCACTGCTACAGTATTGCCTGCCTGTAGTGTGATTAGCTCTGCGCAGAATGCTTATTTCTTCCTAAAACTTAATCTGTTATGGGTGTTTTGTGTTGTTTTGTTTCAGCTCAATTTGCTTATTGAGTTAACAAGAGACTCTGAGATCGTGATATGTCACTTATCAGTTTTCAGTGCAATGAAGTCTGCTGTAGCAGAATGTCTGAATGGCTTGGGTTCTTGATATTCACAATATTTTAACATTTTCATCACCTACATACGCCGCGTGGCAAGTGGTAATTACAAAACCAGCAGCACTGAAATAAACACAAGATGTAAACCTGTACAGTCTCACCAGCCCATGCTGCTGCGGGGGCCTGGGTCCCACACAGCTGAACCCCTGACAGCTGCCAGGCGGCCTGGGGAGGGTGTCATGGTGTTGGGTGAAAAGATAGAGCACCCAGCCAGCACCAGAAGGCCCTGCAGGAGACCAGGGCTGCCTCTAGTCCTCTCTTCCTGAAAAATGGGGAATTCGTC